CTATCCTCAGCTATAATCTCTCAATTCGCTTGGGGGATCCTGATGAAGAGCCATAAGGGACAAAGAAAGCAGTACATTGTTGATTCATGGACTTAATTCGAGGCCATCCTGAAGCTCGGGGCCCCCCTTACTTCGAGCCCCATCGCCAGCCAAGTGCCCCTTTCCCTGCCCTTGCAGCCCTACGATAGGCACGACATAACGTGTGTTTTCGTATCCAGCCCTGAGAGACGTTGGTCACCAGGCACTGGATCTGTTTAACCCAACTTGAATCCGCTTCATGCTCTATGATTCTCTGCAGCATAGTGTATCAGCTGAATTCCAGGATGCTAGCCCAGGAAGAAGGTATACGAGAGCCGCGGCAAAGGCCTTTCCCACCATCTTGCTACTGCTCGCCCCAAGCATGGCAGAGAGTACCGTGCTCATTGTAAGGGAAAGGGGCGCATTGCACGTTCACGGCATGGCAATGAAGAACTATCCTGCAAAGTACTGGTATCAGCATGAAACCGAGCAACGACTACCAAGTCTGAGATAGCTCTCCTTACGGCACCGGTAGTCATAACGACAACCTATATATAATAGCCGATGCCAATGATTCTTTGCAGACAACGAGAGGCATGTCAAGCGGAAAATTAAAGCTGATGACGTTCAACCTTGAAGCTCGCTCAGATGCCGTCCATTGTATAAGCTCGGTATCTAGATACAAATAGTTGGCGACATGGTATCATCAACGAAACTTCTCAAAGGGTCACAAAGTAAGACGGATTATCATACAATAACCGAATGATATGGGATACGCCGGCCTGCGACTATGGTGGCCACTTTGGTCTGGCTTTGCGAGATCTCAATGGGTACACAGTTAATGCCATAGGCTCTTGCTATACTTGCAGGCTGAGCATCCGTTACGGTAAGGCCAAGACCGAGGAGGAGCATCGATAATAGGTTGTGGAAATGCCCTACGCAGAAGTCGAATCATGGAAGATCCACGACAGATCGTGGAACATGATCAACCACCAACTATATAAGTCAGAAGAAGAAGCTTGCCTTGTATGAACGCCCAAGGGCCAAATGAAGCCAAAGATAACCCCTGAACAAACCTGTGAGTCGCAAATACCAGTCTTCGCCTGAAAAAGATCACTGATGTCTCTGAGACTCAATTTCATATACTGAACCTGCCGGTCTTGAACTCAGAACATCAGTCACGAGTTTCAGGGGCATGGACCTACAGTTTATAGCATTGTTACTGACTGGTTTTCAACCCGACACAGTGTTCTCGCCTGGCTAGTATGAATGTTGGTCATGGCCTCGTCAAACTCATGAGTTTTGAGGGAGCGTCTTCTAATTGCATCATCGCTGAAGCATCGACTCAGAGAATGATAGCCTCTGAGAATATGTCAGCAACAGGTTTCTTTATTTTAACTTACTGGCATGAGGGAGTCTCTCAACTGGTTTATAGGCAACGAGGAGAGAGCAACGTTCAGACGGTGAAATAGAAGACATTTATTGCTACCAAAAGATGCAATTGTTCAGACGGGCTGCTTGGGACTCAAAGGAGTTCTGAAGAGCAGAATATCCGTCGACGTGACACGCAATACATGAACATGGTGGACAAAATGTCCGAGACAATGAAGAAACAATGCGAGACGTATTTGAAGAGTCGCCATTCTCTTGACATGTTCCAGATGCTCGTACACAGCAAATGGAGTCGATCCTCTTCCTAAGCGAAGGACATATACCGCAAGTCTCGGTGAGTCCGTTCCGAAGAAAAGAGGGAAACCCAATTGGCGATGGTGGTGAGGGTTTCCTTGCAGGGGGGGCGAAACGTATGAAACAACATCGGGTTGTCTGCTTGGCTTTGGGGTCAGCATCATTCTTCTCACAATCCAACAGATCGCCTCGCAGTTTCACTCCGCTGCTGGCAGAAGGAGACCCCATACCCCTCAAGAACAGATATGCATCAATACCACAAATGTGTCCACCAGAGAAGCAGGAATGAACTAGACTCGAACATGGAGAAACAAGGCACCTTGAAAAGAATTGGCAGAAGACATAATCTCGCTATACTCACCCAGCTGATAATATACATCCCGTCACCGTAAAGGGTATCCAAGACAAGTCTCCCCATAGCTGCTGTGACCTCGCAATATCGATGAGCTGGCATACACACCGAACTGGAAGCCACCAAGTATATTACTACTGGCAAGTCTCCACCTCTCAGTCAAGAAGAATCTCAGTTCGCTTGTTCGCCTAGGTCTGCTAATGGCGGTAGTGAAGTGCTTCCTCGCGGACTGAAATGATATACAGAGCATCTGGTGGGATGTTTCCATCCCTTGAAATGTCAAGAGTCAGTTCAGGAATCTTGAAATGCCGACAGCAAACGTGCATGACTATAGTAAAAATCACAGTTTGCTTGCCCGAGTCTTCAGCGCTCTGGCACGAATTTTAGTGCTCGAGAGAAGCCTTGTCGACACATTGACCAATATTCCAGACTATCTCGGTTTAAGAGCTTCAACATTAAGAAGATGCTCTTTAGATTCCCGATTCGCAATAAGAAGGTGAGCGCAGTGTAATGCCTACATGTTCTCATGGCTTTTGGGAATTAGGGGTAAGGGGCCTGTTGCTCATCCCGTCGAATAGGACAGAGAAAACCGTCGACCTGTATTCAAACGAGAATGCTGATGTTACATGAGTCTGAAACGAGCTTGAGATACGCCGAGCTTTCGATCGAGGGCTTGAAAAGGCGCAAACGGGTTATCAGTGTTCGTTATCTGAGGGGTTTCTTCTTTTGACTAAGGGGAGCGTTTATTCTGATGGAGTCGAAGCTTGGGGAGAACTGTAGCCCCTATCTTGGTTCTGGGATGATTTGGGGGATGCTCTCCTATGAGTCTGTGAAGACATGGTCGCGGCGGGAGCTTCGAGGGTTATGTGGGATCGTTGAACGTGATCATAGGGGAGAGTGTGTCGGTAATAGTTTTTCAGACAGAACAGGTCAGCGATAATGCAAGTACAGTGGTCAATTCATAGAAACCTGATAGAATCCTGGCTGCACAGAGTGATGAGAAGAACGCAAACCGAGCCCACAGTTTGCTAGGTGTCGTCAAGTACTTCCAACAACGAGCAAGGCGTTTACCTGGGTAAGTTCCCTGACCAAAGAGTGCCTTTTGGAGCAAGGCCGAATAGTGATGGGTTCCTGATAGGGTAGTTGACGTTAAGAACTATGAGTGCATGTCTCGGTATAAGAGCGCTCAACCCCTGAGCCTCTTTGACCTTAAGATTATCGGCTATTGCCATCAAATTGTCAAATACACAGGTAGGTTGCACTAAAGGCAGCCTCGTGGAAATGGCCCTGGCACAAGCGGTCAAGCGTACCGAAACAGTTCAGCCCCTGAGAATGCCGAGACAGAGACGGACCGCCGCGGCGATTATAATGAAGCCTGTAGAACAGATGTTTCTTTCAATAGCAGCGGTATTGAAGTTCAAACAGTGATTTAGTGGGTTCCAAGGTCCGCAGGACTGTCTTTGTCTAACTCAGGGGCGGTCCGTGGCAACTTGAGGCTTTACCAAGAAACTCGTCTCCTTGGGAGCGTTCTTCTCCCCCTGGGACCTGACACTTTTGAAGGGGGGGTGCTTGGAGGTCAATGAGTGCTGCAATAGCTGATGGCGCGGTAGGGTAACTTCTTTTCGGTTGTTATGTCGATCACGATGGTGTTCTAGCGAGTTGGGTGCTTCTTGAGGCAGCGCTGCTGAAGAACCTGTAGCATTTTTGTCAGCAAGGTGGGACCAGCAAGAGCACAGTTGAATGGACTTGACATCTGGTCAGTTAAAGGCTCATTGAAGAGCTGAAGAGGTGGGAGGAAGGCAATGAAGGACGATTGATCAGCGTGCGAGCTACGTCAGTCTGCAATGAAACACAACGGTCTCCGACAAATCGCCCCAAAACTTGTAGCGCCTCAAGATCTCCTGAATGGTTGAAAGGGACTGTTAAGGGGGAACACGGGAGCTGTAAGAAGCTGCAGCGCCCCAGTCGCCGACTTGATAAGGTCTGGTGCTCACGATCCCCAATGGTTTGCTAAGAAGGTCAGGGGGCCGAGTGTCGAATCATCGCTGACCAGTACCACTGCTGCGATATCGTGGTTGGCAAAGTACTGTGATTGATCTGGGAGCAGGAAGCGTCCTATGCAATAAAGAGCGTGTCAGAGCCTTGCGGTAGTCAGTTACTGCGCACTGGTTGGAGGCATTAGATGAAGAAGACCAGCCAGGGGCTAGGATAAACGCATGTACGATTATTATGGTTGTGTCCTTGGTGAAGAGAGTGACATTCTGCATGATTTGAAGGGTGAGGCGCGCGTAACGCTTGTTGGATGTAAGCGTTGTCAGCGTCACTCGAAGGCAACGATGCACAGTCGAGTCATCGATGGGCCTGCTTTGTTCCCTGGCGACACAGATGTGAAGGAACGATAATACAAGGTCAAGATGAACATTGTGAAGGGATGACAAGTTGCGGATGAAGTTTGGAAGACGGGGTCGTGAGATATGTCGGAGTGTATGGAGGGGGATAATAGCAGAGAGCACACATATTCCTGTGAAGACATGTGGGTCTACAGCCAAGCACTCAGTGCTCATGCAGGATAGCTTTAGGGGACCAGATACGTAAATTGTAGAAGAGTAGCGTATGAATGTCTGGTTTGGGAGGCCAGTGACGTTTCGTTAGTGTGGTGTGCCTTGTAAAAAAGGTCACCCGGGCACCGGGGCCTTTTTCGTCACACGTCAAATCGCTCTACCCGCACGTATATCAAAACATTTCTCTCGCGTTCGAGCTTCTTCCCCCCTCTCTTCTCCTAACCCTCTCAACATTCTTCGACTTCCGCTCGAAGTCAACTTCTTCCACCTTTCTGCCCGAACAAACAACACGTGAGTGTCTCTTTTCCTTCAGCGTATTCCTCCTTTCTTTTCCGTGCTAAATTTGACTTAGGTAACTACCTTCACTCCAAAGCGGAGCTACCATGGATGTGACACCTGAAGATGCAGAGCGAGCGATTGGCCAAGGGTAAGTTGACACTTGTATCGATTCACGTTAGGGAGTACTGAGAACCGATGTTAACAGCGCCACGATTGCCATCTACTTTGGCGCAGGGGATGGCGGTGACTTACCTCCTGGGGTTGAGTTCGTTCACGCCCAGGCAATTCATCTCACGTGCCCTGAGTTCCTCCAGAGAGTTACTAAATGGGGCATCATCTCGCTTCCACATGCTCCCCAGGACGTCAGGAACGCCATCGTCCGTTTCTTCTACACTGGAAGAGTCCCATTTCATGAAGTACACAAGTTTACTCTCCGCCGGGACGTCGAAGAGGCCTTTGATCTTGGTATCCATGTGTACTCCCAGGCTGTTTACAGCGAGATCACGAAAATGAAGGATCAGGCCACTGAGTACATGAAGAGTCTCTTTCCGTACATGGAGCCTTTCCTGATGCTGGCCTACACTTACAGCGTTCTCGATCCCCTGTATCCTGATCTCAACTATGAGTGGGTTGAAGCCCAAGCCGCCCTTTGGAGCCCTAACGACGGCAACGACAAGCTCATGGAGGCCCTTGAGGCCGAGCGTCAGGCGGATCTGCAGAGCTTCAATGAGTTTCTCAACCGCGGAGAGAACGCCTGGGTCAAAATCAACGAAGATGGCGAGGAGGAGTCTGGAGAAGAATCCGAGCAGGAAACCGAGACTAATGAAGAGCCCGAAGGTAAAACCGAGGCTGAAGAAACCGAGGCTGAAACAGAGTTGGAAACAGAGGATGGGACCTATGACAGCGACGGGAAGCTCAAGGTGATCGGCGATGATGGCCTCATCAACCTCGACCTGGCCAACTACCCACCCGGTGTTTACCGCTGGTAAGCTACAATGGTATCCAACGACCGATCGAGTTTTGGACGATGCACGAAGGAAATGTAACGACGAACACGATGTAACGATGGACATGTAATGATGGTCGTAGCAGGACTGGCTGGCATAATGGGGATGGAGGTTATCAGTAGTTGACCACGAGGGGATGTGGGAAGGAGTCTTGCCCATGTAGTATTAGCTAAGATTATCCCCCGGAATACAGTCCATCCATGTCCTTATATATATTAACCACGACAGTGGTCTGTTCATAATGTTTGATCTCACTGTATTTATGCGGACTCGGAAGAAGAACAGAGGGCGCATGGAAGTTGGAGACTTTGATCTTCACCTTTCTTTTACCTTCACAGAAGGCCACAGAAATCCCGCCTCTTTCCAAGAGTATACCAGTTAAAAAGCCTAGGCTCACTGAACCACTTCTTTCACAACATGATTGAAACGCACAAGGGAAGTTGAGACATTATATCTAGTCACTGGTAACTCCTCGATTGCGAGAGCGAGATGCGCTTGAAACTGACGATGCCTACCATGAATTATTTACCTATTTCATAGAGTCATTGTACACCATTTTTGGAAGGCGGAAGCTTGCATCAGTACCTATCGAGTGCAGGGCTGGAGCCTACTGGTCAACACTAAAATCATGCGCGAAGGAAACCTCCAGTCACAACAAGCGGCCCACGTTAATTCATTGACTGAAAGAACACAGGAATGATACAATCTATCTTAATTACAACATATTGCTTTTGCACATCTACGGTCTCAGCTACATAACAACAGGGCAGCAAACTTCCAGCACCACATGCTTATTCACCAGGGCTAGGCGTTTGTACATCCATGAAAGCGAGGGATTGGCTGCCCCAGTACAAAGCTCGAACAAGCCAGGTTCATTAGAGCGTGCGAAATCACAGAAGTTTGCGAGTTTACCAGAAAACTGCGAGTATAGGCAGCAATTAGGATTCGGAGCAGATGAACTGAGTGTTTGTGAATGCTGCACGTGACCGCCCTTCTTTTGGATGTCAACAAAACGGTCCAGGGCAATCACAAGACACAAAGGCTCGAATGCGGAAGATTCGTTTGCCTGAGGCAATCCACCCATGGACTTACTCCTGAAGAACCTGATGTCACTGTCAACACTGTTGCTACAGGTATCTTGGAGCTACGTCCATTCATCAACTCCATAAAAAAGGGGGCGCGGGACTGGCAGTTTGCCAAACGGTAAACACTACAACACCCAAGACTATAGCCGGTGATGAAAGACACTCTACAATTAGACACTCATATGTAATGGTGCTTTGGATCTCATGTTGGAACGCATGAATGCTTGCGGGAGCTGTACTTCAGAGCTTACCACATCCGAGTGAGCGAAGATGCTAACTGTAGGTTGTCACTGCAGTGAAAAAAGAGCTGAGAGTAGTTAGTTGACACTGGGCTGACACTGCATAATGCAGTCCTGTAACTGTAGGTCGCCTGTGGAGTGACGCGCCGGAAGTGAATGATCAGACGGCTCAAATGCGCCAAGCACACGTTCTCAAGACCAACATATAGCACTACAACAGGCTGATCTACTTATTAGTGATCACACAATGAAGAAGTGATGGGTAAACTATCAGCAGAGGTATCGGACGTTGGCCCCTCTGATATGAATAAAGACCAGCTGGTTAAAGCCTCGTCTCGAGGAGTGTTCAACTTGTTATCTGCTGAACAAAACTAAATCAGTCTGGCGAGTACATATGGCCGGAAGAATTACTCATGCCCTATCCAGACTTTCTCGCCTACTGGAAGTGTCAAACTATGTTAGACCTCTTAGACATCACTTATCACCTTGCCACGTGTGTTTTTACATTATATACACACATAGGAGTACTAGAACCTCAAGTTTCATGGTACAGAACAAGAGTTTTGTGCCACCGATTTCAGCACCACTGTATATGCCTACAAAATTGACATCAAGTACCAGCTTCCAGAGTTGGGCCAGCTGACCGCGGAGAGAATTCGGATTTATGGAAGACAAAATTCCGTCTTATTGAAAAGAGGTATTATGGAATAATCTCTAAATGTGAGCCAGTTATATTATTTGTAGCTGAATCTCGAGGTAAAGGGCATATTATAGATAGTGAAAGAAATGTCTTGTCATTCTCGGGAGACAATCCAAGAGAACTTAAAGAAGTGATATGAATTACTGGAAATCGAGGCACAATAAGCTTTTTGTTTACTGCTATGGCTACTCTGGGCAGTTATGAAGTTTCGCAGGTTGTTAGTGATTTCCGATCATGTCAGGGGTCCTGGTTAAAGCCAATCCATAATGGGCTTAGCGTCAGCCAAATCACACCCCTGTCCTGGTCAACAGGGGTCTTTCGGGTGAGCTAAGTTCGTGCGAGGTCAAGTTCGTACGAAATTCTTAGTGAAGACCGAGAAGGATTATACCGGTCCATACAGCACAGTTGTTATGCACGCAATACTGTGACATATTCCTCAACCTCGCACGAGATTTGGTCCGTCTAAGTTTCGATCAATCAACCAAAGAATCCCTCAACTCGACATAAAAGACAACGACACCTGTTCACCATGAATCTCTTTCTGTCTTCTACTTATTCCGATTTTATCGGTTCAGCTTTTTCTTCTATCCACTACCGCGTCAAGTTCTTTCTCAACGTCCTCTCTGGAAAAATGCATCCCTCCACCATGACCGATTCACCTGAGCTCGAGAGCAACAAGTCAAGCGAGAACAATGACCGAACTCCCCCCAACGGAGGAGCCAAAGCCTGGGCTTGTGTCGCAGGCTCGTTCTTGTTGCAGTTCTGTTCCGTTGGTTACGTAAACGCGTGAGTTTGACCTCTCCCCATCGCGAGAACCGCTCACTTACATTTGAATATTAGATGCGGCATGTTTCAGTTGTACTACTCGGAAGTCATGTTCAAGGACCAGACGTCGTCTGCCTTGGCCTGGATCACTACACTCCAGATCTTTATGCTGTTCATGTTCGGTCCCGCTGTTGGCAAGATGATCGATGTCTACGGATGCCGCAAGACACTCCTGCCCTTCAGTATCATGGCTGTCTTTTCCGTCTGCATGCTGAGCCTTTGCACAAAGTACTGGCAAGTCATGCTTGCTCAGGGAGTTGCTTTTGGTCTGGCCGCCGCCGGTCTGTCTCTTCCCGCCATGGCAACCGCCACTCAATGGTTCTCGACAAAGAAGGGTTTGGCTGTTGGTATTGTTTCTGCTGGAAGCAGCCTAGGTAAGGCAGCAAACCATTATTCTATATGCAGTCTGCTAATATGAGTCTAGGAGGTGTGATCTACCCCTGCATGATCCCTCGACTCATCGAGGAAGTCGGGTTTGCGTCTGCTGTTCGTTGGACTGCACTCTTGCAAGGAATCCTCTTAGTCGTCGCCAATGCTCTCTGCTCTTCCCCGTTCCCACCTCTCGGCAAAGTCTCGCGACCAGCAAAAGAAGCAAATATTCCCAGCAGTGGGATCAACGGATTCAAGAGAGGACCTTGGGGGTTCTTCATCCTGGGCTGCTTCTTCACCATGTGGGGTCTCTTCGCACCCCTGAACTACCTCCCGGAGATGGCCTCACTTCACGGATACAAAGACTTCGCTGTGTATACCTTGGCCATTGCCAACGCCGGTTCCCTATTTGGCCGAATCGTGCCTGGCTGGATCAGTGACAAGGTCGGCCACTTCAACACCATGGTCATCGTGACTAGTTTCTCCGGAGCTCTCGTCCTGGCATTTTGGCTTCCTCTCGAGTTTTACACCTCTAAAGGTGGTATCATTGCCTTCGCCCTGCTCTTTGGGTTCGCCAGTGGCGGTTTCGTCAGCCTGGGCCCTCCGTGCGTTGTTTCCCTTGCCGAAGATCGGGTCGATGAGATCGGGGTCAAGCTGGGAGGCTTTTGCCTGGCGATTGCCCTGGGCGCTCTGACTGGACTTCCCATCGAAGGGGCCATCAAGGATCGCGAAGGGAACAGGTTTACCGGGCTGATGTGCTTTGCGGGCGCGTCTATGCTTCTTGGAAGCTTCTGTATGGCCACCGCTCGAGTCTTCAAGGAAGGTGCCCAACTCCTGAAGAAGGTCTAGTTGGAGATGCCGGGGAGGTTATGGCATGGTGAAAGATATGTTGCTCCAGTAAAAGCAGGTGAAGAGGATTCTGGTAGATAGATTATTAATAATAATCACTTTGTACCTGCGAGAATTGAGGCTGGTTTCCCATGGAAAAGTCGTATAATCATTGGCGTGTTGTTGGGAGTATTTATTAGATATGGGTGAGTGTTAATGCTGCCTGAAAGTTTGTCGGGGATAAAAGGTTGTTTTCAGTAGGCTGGCTGGATCTATCTTATTGAAAACTAATTAGGTTTGTTTCAGCCTAATGATAATCACTTGGAATAACAGCCTAAGTCGTCACCTACAATCCAATAATCTACATCAAAATATCACGCCATTGAGTCACGAAAATATCCCAGAGCGCCTATTGGGGTAGCCTATCTATCCTATTGTGCTATGATGCAAGAACCGGGCCATGTCTAGTACCTCGAATAGTCTTCCTGGCAACCCTCATCATTAATTCAAATCCCGAAGCTGTCATCTGGTCAGAATGTAGTTCGAAGATTGAATATATTCTGTAATTACCTTAGTTCCCAGTCTCAAGGGTCTATACTCCATGAGCATGCGCGAAGTCCGCTGTTCTGGAGATAACTTCAAGGTGTCATGGCCTGATCTTGAATGAGATTAGCATTTGGAAGCATTTTAGGAACAGATCCAGTAGTCTTACAGTGACCTGCGATGTCTTCAAGGATTGGACTTAGTAGTGGCGATGGGGAGGGGGAGGGGGAGGAGGAGAGGGCAGGTAAGGGAAGCGGAGACTGTTGATTGCACCAACAAGGCCGTCGATCAGGGGATCGCCAGTTTGGAGTCGAAACTCCCTGCGGTCAGCCTGAAATGCTGGCGGGATCGTGGAGGTTGAACGGCGAATCACGTAGTCTATAACATAGAGTCCATTTCGCTGGTACCATTCGCCCTGAGCCATGAAGTTGACCAGGATTCTGGTAAGGGAAATCATGTTTCCATACTGCTCCATGTGGGTCAGAGCCAGACCGGAAAGCTCAGGAAGATGGAAAGCAGCCGCTTGAGCGTTGACTGCCAAAGCATCGGCGAACTCCCGCTCCAACCTCTCCTCATGGATCAAAATGTTGCAGGGAACCATATTGTAGTTGCCGGTCTGTAGGTAATGAGTGATGATTTGAGCCTGACGCTGGGAAATACCAGGCCACTTGAGAATACCACCCTCAAACATCGCAGCGAACACGGGGAAGCGGCCAACAACAGGCCAGGGCAAGCAGACTTCGCCATGGGGGAACTGGATGGCGACTGTGAGCTGGGAAGTAGGACTAAGATTGATTGTTAGTAAGGAACAACGAGACAGGTTGATACAGATACATACAGACGTTGGCCTATGGCAGCAATGGAAGCATCCTTGGAAGATTCGGCACCAAGACTGAAGTTGATTGTCAGCAAAGAAACATGAGAGGAGAAGAGACCGATACATACAGACGTTGACCCATGTCAGTGAGGGAAACACCGTTAGAAGAGCTCTTGGCTCCGGCGGGCTGCTGCTCGGTTGGGCCCTTGAACTCGACGGGTCCAATGATTCCACCAGACTTAGCGACATCCATAGCCCACCTGTCCCTGCGAGACTCCCGCTTAGAGGGTTCCTTGTGGTTGTTGCGGTTGTCAGACATGTTGTCTGCTTTCGATCTTTGATTTTCTTGTAGCAGGGGAAGCAGGTTGCCGAGTTTGTAGAGGAGTGTTGGAAGAAGAAGGGAAAGAGGGAAAAGTTGTGGGTGGAAACAAGAGGATCCGAGCCTCTTGTGTAACACAAACGCACAATCTCGCTCCTTGGCCCTCTTCTTATTGTGAGACTGAGCTTTGTGGTGGGCCAGACGCCTGCAGCTCCACTAAGAGATGTGACTACCCGCTGGACCACCCCCTTGTCAGTGGTGAGTCTTCCTTGCAGGCTGCAGCTTTTTGGTATCACTCACTGCTGAACTTTATTTCGTTTGAGAACAGATCTATTTTGCCTCAAACCATTTGCTTTCTCTCAGAGCCTCAGATGCAAGCCACCAAACACTCTTCTAGGTAAGTTGATGTCAAGTAATTTCACCAAGACCCTCTGTTACTAAAAGGATATTGAGGTGAGCTAACAAGATTCCCAAGCTGATATGATGATAGAAACACTGAAAGTCGTTCTGCTGTCGATGCTACAGGACTCGAAATGACCTCACGATCCCCCATACCGAGTCATGTTACATTTCGTTATTCGTTGACTACCCTGTCACTAACCACACCAACATATGAGTAATGAGAAAGAGAGAGTCATAAAACATCAGTGAGGACTATTCCGATACTGCACCCATTTTGCATTGTAGAAACTCTGAATCGCATGCAGGTGCTGCTACAGCACTTTCTCACAACATCTTTCACCACTTGAGCAGTCAATTTCGTCCTGCGGTCTCTCCAGGACGCTGAACGACCAGCGTGAATTTGGTGGACGATTATACATACCGACAATCGCTCTACTATCTTTGCTCCCCTGTCACCTGCGCGCTGTCCCGTCTTGCCCAGCCCCTGAATCAGGAAAATTAGCCTAGATCGATCATACATCCAGATATGCCCTTTAAGAGTTGGATCCTGTAAACTTCGGAGTAACTAGCCCCATATACCTTCTATATGTGATCAGGCGATGGCCGCCGAATGCAGTGGTGAATACCAGATGAATCAGGTGCAAGGTCGAGACCGGTGGAGCGTTTCTAATCATTAGATTTAGTACCAGACGACTAACAGAAGATTAACACATAGATTCGCCCTCGACCAGGAGCCATCAACAGGATGTAGCCTTTCAAAAAGGAAAGTGTTGTGTCCTAGTATACTGCACTGAAAACTGCCCAGCACAAAAACTGATCTTTTGTGTACTATTAGGCCATGGCAGACCTCGAACAGCGTCTCATGCAGCATGGTATAAAGTTATTTGTAAGTTGCTTGTGGCTTCTTCTCAGCCTTTACTAACCGAATCGCATAGGACTTCCATGTGGCACACGACGAAGCCCCCCCTATCCTCCCAAAAACAAGTCTACAAGCACAAAAATTGACTTCGTGATCTTTAAGAGCAAGTGGAGTCATGAATATCTAGCAGACAGGCCAATAACACAATGACGTTTCAGAGAGGCTCGACTCTAGCCATCCGTTCACCAAGAGATTCCCTAAGACTTGTACAGCACGTCTTCTCAGGGCTGCCGGCCTTAGTTTGCGACAGGCCGAACAGCAATGGCGCTCAATACGCATCAGGAGCTGTAGGATCAATGTTCCAGAATCCCTAGTCGATCTTGTCAGCGGCAGTGTTTGTTTCAGGGGAGATGAAGGTTCACGTACCCAGTCAAACATAAAATCAGGTTCCAGCATTTCTATACTACCCAGCGTTATGGGGTTAGGCAACAAAGCTGATGATGTAAATTCTCCGGGTATTGGCATATCTAGCAGCAGTGCTGGGCCCGGTACAGTGGCAGAAGAAGCTAGTCCCTGGAGTGTTTCGTTCACGGATAAGTCAGACTGCGCAGCCTGGAATGGCGTCATGGTGAAATGTCTCGAGGTAGATTTGGCGAGGCTGTTTGAGATGATGCGATTCATCGCATTCCACATTGGCGTTGCTTCTCGCCCCCTCGTGAGCATGGTCTTTTTCAATGCGTCCAAGGCGCGTGACCGTATCGCTTGTCGGTTGGGAGCCTCGAGGTCGGGCATGTCAAGCTCTGAGACAATATGCATGATAGGTTGGAAACATGCATGACCACCAATATGCCATCCAAATCGCTGGGCGTCTTTATCGCCTGACATCGTATTCAAGCTTTCGATGAGGCTGACCGATTTATCTAATATTCTTAAGGTATATCAGCCTTGGTTCTTGTCAAAGAAAGGCTGTGGGCATTGTTTCGGGGTCATACGTACATTTGTCGGACTTCAGGCGTAATCACGGATTCCCGGTACTGCTTCGGCGTTCGTAACCAGAAGATAGACCAGCAACGCCATTCAACTACTGTTGCGAGTCCAATTGCCATTCGTTGCTCCGGAATCTGGGGACTGCAGTATTGTAGATATTGTGTTTGGAAATGATTGACCATCTCATCCACCATGCCCCTAACCTCCTCAAATAGAGACCGAAGCTTAGCAATTGGGTTCATGTTGCCATTATGTTTGGCTTCTTGTGATTTGGTCGTTCTTTCAAGCTTGTAAGTGCCTCGAACAATTCGTCTAAAACAATGGTGACCATACAGACGGATCAAATGAACCGTCATGTCGGTAAACCCAGCAGGTGTTGATGTCCCGTCGAGACCCCCTTCAATGAGATCTTTATCCGAGATATTTCGTGGAAGAAAGGTAGTGAAGTCCTCGTCTGATATAGTCGGCTCTTGACCCCTGCTTTCTGCAGAGCGGTAGTCGAGGTGGCATATCTGATGCCACAACCTGCGGCGAATCTCGACTTGGATGACGTCCATGCCCGTGGACGTGAACAGTGAGGGCTCTCTGTGAAGACCTTGCGAAAGCGCCATCTTGTGAGCGAGACCTAGAAGAGTCCAGGTTTTTGCCATGTCATCTTCCCGCGACTGACAGGTCTAGGGGCAAGTTAACTAGGGCTGAGACTTGATATGGGAGTACAAGCTAACCAGAAGCAGTACAAATGCTTGAAGTACTTCAATGCTTGGTGTAGTCAAGAAGTTCTCTCTCTCAAGACCAACCTGCACGCCACATTGAAATTGGGAAAGAAGTGATTCCTTTTCAGCAGAAAATTGCAACAATACGCCTTCAGGCGAGAGACTGTTGATGGCTGAGTAGAAGACAGCCAACGCCAAAGGTTCGAAGGTATGAATATCCTCCCTGGAGTGAGCGGCCGGAAAGTCCTCATTGTCAGAGCTTGAAGCGTTCACGCCGTATGTGTAATCGATGTACTGGATGAGTCGTCGTTTGAGCGTAGGCTTGTGAACTATCCTAGTCATCGGATCAACGTGAGAGTAGAAGATATCAAATAGAATCAAGCATATGTCTGCTGAAGTCGGCGCCCATGTCCTGAGGTCATTCGTCGAAGATGCTGAAAATGGAAAGGGGGAATCTAATCGAACTGTCGGCAAGCCTTCCCTTGGTGCATCGACAGACGGGCCTCCGAGCAGCATCTTAACATCACGGATCTGGAGTCTTTTGTCAGGGACAGAAGCTTTAGTGAGGAAGTAGACTTACCTCATCGGCCAGGAGAGAGTAGTGAAGAGATGATACCCAGCGAGATTTACCCCCCTGGCCTTCAAGGAGCAAAGCGCCATCATAACCATCGGTTGATAAGGTTTCCGACTGAGGATTCCGTGATGAACCCAGTCCCTGATGCTTTGAATACGGATGTTCCGGATTGGAAGTTGTCTCCGCCGGCTGTTGTGCGATGGCTGGGCCACCGCCGAGTACACGCTCTAGAAGTTGCTCCAACCGTTCAAGGCGGTTCCGGATCTCGTCTTGGCCAGTTGGTCGGTTGCTTCTTGACACTCGGTTGCCGTTTCCAGGGCGGGAAGACTGGGAAGTTGGTTGCTGGCTGGTGTAAGTGCAAACGCGATTCCCCTTCTTACATGGCGAACAAACTGGCTGTGTGTGATCGCACTTGACTTTTCGATGGCGACAGGTCAGACAAGCTGTGATGACACGCTTTCGGTTGGTTTGATTGACTTCGGAATTACCGGGCTGGGTATCCATCGCTGGAGCTAAGGTCCTGGGGGCTGGAAGACCAATTGATAGGACTTGAAGCTAATGATGAGATGGGTACTGAGTGAACAGAGGTGAGTGGTGGAGAATAAGACGCGCTTATGGCCTGAGCGTTAAAAGAGCGTCTATCGATTTCAGCTGGCAGGCAAAGGTTCCTATTGGCTCCACTGACGAGGATGTTAGCTCACAAACAAGGTTTGCCTCATCAACAACTAGCATAATTATTGATATGGTAAGACTTATCATACATAAATAAGAGATATTGAGTTAGTATATAACAGCCAAACGTGCTTTATGAAAGCTGGGACCATAAACCAATAGGGCGAGGCGAGTATTGGACATTGGCCTGGCAAGTAATGAAATAAATATAAGGTAATGTTGCACTCAGTAGTAAGGAAAGAGGTTAGTTTGCAATAAGAATTAATTATTTACTGCCCTATGATTCTCAAATTCAAGCATATGCCCTTTTATTAAAGTCTGGGAGCATCAGTAATAATTTACCTATTATATTTGGACATATTAATAGTTTAGTAGTTATTAAAATGTTAATCTATCCTTGATTTATTCTTCTATCATGTTAAGAATGACCGCATATTACTGTTAAAGACCCGCGTCCATGTTTCGTCCCTTTGGTTATTGCCCACCTCGGAATTTCTTCTTCCTTCACATGCTCCCACATCTCAGGGTTAGTGCTTGTCTGCAAAGATTGATCTGGTTTATGCTGACTTTATAGTCGCCAGACAACGATTCAATCAAGCCACTATTGAAATTTAAAAACTGGAGATAAACTCTAGAAAGTCCCTGACGATGAATGGTCAAAATGTCTGGATCTACGGCAACTATCTGACCGAGTCGTAAGTATTCGAAGCATAAGCTACACGCTTACATTATTTGGCAGCTTCTTTACTGACCAAACACTCACTAGTCCTTATCCCCATAGCACCGTCCAGGTCATGTTTGGTGATGACTCAATCTACTGGATCTCAGTCCATCTGTTGGATAGGTATCCAAGTTTAGGCTCTCCTACGACGCTTACAGGGGTGTCGTGAAGCTCAACTGGCTGAACGAAACACAGACGGACGCCTTCATCCGCTATCTCCGCAACGGAAAATGGCAGAGACGTAAGTCAGACGGCTTGAACGGATCGCTGGAATCCTACAATGGGATGCAGCACTGTCTGTCGGCCCACGGTCTCGCTTTGGAGTACGAAATGGACGAACTCGCTAGACTTACCTTTGTCGACTTCACCAAGATGGCTGATCGACTCTCAATCTTCGAGCTCATGAAGATGCTCAAAGATGCTGACTGGACACTTCACAGCAACCAGACTGCATTGGCTGACTACTTCACCCAACGAGTTGCCATGAGCGAAGAGACCATCACCGAGGACCAGATCACCATTTTCAGAAGCGGAAATAGCGCCAGACGAACTTTCGCCAACGTCGCCCTCGTGGGAATGATCGAGATGAAGCACAAGCTCCAGCAGTATGAAGAGAAGTACGGACCTTTGGAGACTGGGGAAGACTCTGTAAAGACAGAGGGCGGGCCCTTGGAGTAAGACAGATATCAACATGTTATCTGTGCTTTTTTACGGCGCTACAGAGATAAAGCATTAGTCTCGACAGAAGGGTGAAGTTAGGAGGTGCCCTGGTTCAAGTCAAACGAGACAAGTTTGGTGATGGAAAGAACAAATCCCTGGGAAGGCTACGGGTTGGGATGTTTCTGCAAATGCTGCAAATGCTCCAGAGGCGTGTCGGTTGTTAGGGGGTTCAGACCAGCTTTTTGTACTTCTAACATGAAAAAGAAAGCCGGCGTCTACGGTTTAGAAGGTGCGAGAGATCACCAGCAGCCTTTACTTCCTGAGTAATGATTTCAGATATAAGCACGTCGGATAAGTTGTAGAAATGTCTTCGGACGATCTAACGATTCAGAAATATGGCCCAATGGCTAAAGGTTTACAGCTGCCACCAATGACCTTTGAACTGTTTCCTTTATCCAATCTTCTGAAGCTGAAAGCCCTAATTAAGATCCGTCTTCTTCTCGGCAGGATACCCAGAAGTCTTCCCATCGTCGTGTGCTTCATCTTGTGAATTGGCCTCTGAATCTTCTGATACCACTTCCCGAGCCTTTGCTTGCCTCTTCCTATCCCAGGCCAGAAGGAGCTGAACAACGGCGGTCCAGACGACTGATGAAACAGTTAGTATTGCATAACCCAGTTGATCGATCAGGTTTTCGGGTGACTTACTCAGCAGAGCGTTGAGCACGGTGGACCATGTGTAGCCCTTTGCAGCCCTGGGGAAATCCGTCGTCTTCCAGACAAAGTTGGGAGCCACGGCTTGGACCACATAAGCGAAGTCGTTAGCCGCAGCTACTAGTAAGGCTCGTTTCTCGGTATCGGCGGAACAGATCTCGTTAATCCAGCTGAGAATGAGGGGGCCGGCGCCATTCTAAGGGTTTTGTGAGCACTTCTGCCGTTCTCCGCTATGTTGGGTGTGAGAGACTTACACCAATGTTGGCAAACCAGTAAACAAGAGTTCGGTCTCTGTTGTTTCCGTAAAGGGGCATCTTGAGAAGAGCGATGTTGAAGGCCATCTATTGAAGGGGTCAGTCATTGTCTGTTTTATATTTGAAAATGGTAGTGAACTCACAGCGATTATGGCACCGGCGTAGATGAAAGGCCATCGGAGACCCTTCATGGGCCCATCGGAAAGCCAGCCCCAGAATAGAGCCATAACGATGAAGATTGCAGTCGACGGTAGAGGCAAGTTGTTAATTTGTGCGACTGAATAAGAGGTGCCGGGAACAGGGGGAGGGTCGGCGTTGAAGCTCTTGAGCCAATAGCCCATGGCTGGCTGGGGGTATGCGTTGTTCCAGAGGACATAGATCATAGCTAAGTCTTAAGTCAGTAAAAATCACAAGGCTCGTAGCATCCGGTGTCTTACGGAGGAAGTATGTGTGCCAGCTCAGCAGAATGGACTTGAGCTTGGCCTTTGTCCACTTCTCCTTTCCAGCCCGCCCGATAGCGTTCATCCGTTCAACAGAGATCTCGTGCTCCCTTTGTGTAGTCCACCAAGTCTTGACTCCGTCTTGAGGAAGGTTGGGGAAGAAGAAGTAGCCAGCAATGGCGAGGGGAAGGGTGATGATGCCGTCGATGATGAAGAGCCAGCGCCCTATGCGTTGGTCAGCGCTACGTATCGAAGGAGGAGTGGTGAGGACTTACAGCCTGCATGACCGTGGACGCCATTCAAGTTCGTATAAGCAGCTGCTTGTAAGAAGCCACTGAACATGTTACCGATGCTACCAGCCAACCAGAAGATCATGGCGCGCTTGCCGATTTCGCGAGGGGTGTACCAGGAGCCGAGCATGTAGTGAATACCAGGATAAAAGCCAGATCTGAAGCATGTAAGCCAACTGGATCATGTAGATAGGGATGTAATTGGATTCACTAACTCGAAGAGACCGACCAGGAATCGCAAAGCGTACAAAGCCTTGTATGAGTGCACAGCTGAAGTGCAGATAGTTGCAATGCCCCAACCGACTTCAAGTGACGGGATAACCCAGCGCGGCGACACTCGAGTGAGAAGCAAGTTGGAAGGGATTTGGCCGACAACATAACCCACGGTCCAGATGGATGTGCCTGTCGGATGTCAGTTGGATTCGTAACGCCTATGGTATGGGTGACTTACTGGTGACGAGTTCGTTGCCATACATGTTGAGCTCCTCCTTCATCCCACTAAGAAAAGCATTGTTGACGTTTGTTTGATCAATATTCTTGAGGAAGTAACCGATCGAAGCAAACGTCAAGACAAAAGCATCAACCTTGAAAAGAAGCCATCGCTGCTCCTTGGGCAACTCCCATGTATCCCAGACATAGCTCTTCCACGACTTGCCGCGCTTCTCGCTTTCCTCGTACTCAGTCGCTGAGTTATCGGTATCGCGATCGTAGCGACGATCATCGACCGCAACGGCAGTCGTCTGTTTGACTTCAGCCATTTCTGATGGTGTTTGCTTGGCAGGCACCGTTGTTGCTTGGCGCAGCGTGGCTTGGGGTTGAGACAGACACAAAGAAGTTACTTAGAAACGAGCTCATACTTGGCGAGATCTGCAGTTCTTTTTTATACGCCGTGTCTTGCATGGTGGGTATGCAGTCATTGTTGCTAGCGATCGCGTCAATTCAGATGGGGTCCACGGGTGTTATCGCTGCTACCCAACTTGGCCGAAGTGAACGAAACTATGGGTCGATTTAATCGATAGAAAGTCGCAGCGATTTTCCAACTCTTCTTTTCTGATAGGGTTGGTTGGCCGACGTCGGGACGTGCTATGTGGTGCGTGTTGCGTGATTCTGGGGTTGATGACACCTTTAGCCTTAGACGGTAATAACGGACGGGGTCCCTTATCTTTAACCATTGCGCAAAATAAACTCGGACCCGAAGTGGGATATGTCCATGATATATCTCATCCCAAGTATGCATTGTCTTTGAGAATTCGGTCTTCGGTTGTTTTCGAGTGTCAATTGGTCGGGTAACTGGGATATCGACAGAGGCCTATGAGAGTTATAGCTTAGACAACAAAATCACCATTTAAACTTTCGTTTCATAAACAAAATCTGGGTTCCAGGGGGGTTATAACAAAAAACAAATGAAGCATTCGAGAAAGAATTTGTAAGATACTCTTGCAGAGCCTCACTCATCCCAACTATAGTCAACGCCAACAACATATGGTTCCACAGTAGGTGGTCCAGACCTGTTTTCCGTTCTCTATATCCGATCCTGAGATGCATAATGCCTGGTACTAGTCAGGCAGTGGCGTTCAAGATGGCAGCACCACCTCCTCTGCGTTGTATTCGTGGGGGTCGGCGAAGAGACGGGCAAGTAGGGGTCAACTTGGTCAGGACTAACCGAGAGCTAGGGATCTGATATCAAGATCCCTCAGACGCAGAGTCGTAGTGCTCGTTTCCCCTTTCTGGCCATGCCCCACTCATAGGCTTGTCCACTGTGAAATGCTGCAAACCCGACTCGATATTGTTGGAATCTTAGAGTGAACCCACTTTTTCATTTTCCATCTTCCTCCTCAACCTCGATTCTCGTACAAGGAAGCGCGTCACTTGGGAAGTTTCAAGACACTCAGAACTTTAAGTTAATGATATCCCTTCTTTTCATCGTCCTTACAAAATCTAATACATCTGACAGGCGAAGCGGAGCCATTACCAAGCCTAGTTCAACTCGACAGGGGTTTGAGCACGCAAGTCCCATAGCTTATTCGCACATCGCTCCGGACCCGGGAGACTATACCCGCCACATGGCAGACCTGAACAACGTTCCGTAAGCATTAAGAGCCCTACTTCGTGACTGAACCGTGCTATGATTGGTTGCTAACTGCTCCAAGTGTTGGAAGATACATGATCTACAACAACAAGAAAAAGAGAATCAAAATACCTGCTTCACAAGTCTCCAATCATCCAGCCTTTGAGAAACACTTCACCAGACCCCGTCAGTCCAGGACTCGACGCCTGTATTCCGGGCGTTGCTCATGCATCATCGACATCGTCACTGTATTTCTGCGCAATGGCAGATTCTACAACCTCCACACCGGCCAGTGTCGTTGCATATGTAAATCAACCAACCTCTTTGCCCGAGCCATCGCTATTTACGACTTCGCAATCGAGTTCCAGCTCCATGCGCTCGCTAGACTGGTCGTGGAGGACCTTCCCAAATTCGCAGAATACATCAAATCCACAGACGTCCTCTGTTTCAAGCTGACCTACGGTGAGCCTGTGACACCGGAGTTTGCGGGGATGTCCAGACGTCCGCGGCTTCTACAGCATGAAAAGCTTCTCCAGGACCTGGCTCGATTGGCGATGGCTCTGCCTGGCGATACCAGACTTAATGAGGGCGGGGTATGAGAGCAGCACCGAAATTATGCGTCATGTTCATAGTGTCTTCCCTCGAGAGGTTTCAGGTTGAAGCAATGTATTCAATGGGTTTACTCTCTCTTTTTTGAAACCGAACTTCATTTTGCAAAGTACGAGACAAATATTTTCAAAGATGGTCTCACACACCGTAAATGCTCCACGTGATATAGAGGATGTATTTGACCAATAAGCTTCGAAAACATGGCGTCTTGGGTTCCCACCGTTGTCCTATTTGTGACGTCTTGATCTTTAATTCTTAGAATACTCCGCACCAGACCAAACATCTTCAACAACATCTAAAAGCTGGTGCCGCAAACATGTCAATCACTCACACTGTGCTCTTTCAATTCAAAGCCGATGTCGACCAAGACGACATCAAAAAGGTACGTGACACAAATAAAGGTTGTTTGGCCAATTGACTGACAACCCGATTTCACTTAGACATGCGATGATTTCCTCCAACTGAAAGACCAATGTATACACCCTACAAGCAACAAGCCTTACATTGCGTCACTGCAAGGCGGCAAGGATAACTCGCCAGAGGGGATGCAGGTAACTCCGCCCTGTCATCCTTGCGTGAATTTGGTGCTGACTGACGGTAGGGCGGGATAACCCATGGATTCGTTGCGACCTTTGAGTCAGCAGAGGATCGTGACTACTACGTCAAGACTGACCCGGCTCATCAAGCTTTCATAGCTAACGTTGGTGGTCTTCTCGAGAAGGCCATTGTGGTTGATTTTACGAATGGCGTTTACTAGAGTCGACCGGGAACTTCGCTACTAAAACAAAACCTAATTTGACCTTCATATATAAGTGAAAACCAAATGGATACAGTCTCTTTATTTCAAATAGCCAATAATACATAAAGCCAGGATACTCCAGTCAAAACCAGTATGCAGACAAAGGAAATAACAAAACCAGCACGGCGCCCACTTCATCTCACGATACAGAGTTCACACAGTCCTTCTCCGTGAATTTCTTGCATGCTTCCATTCCCAGATCAGCGCAATTGCTAGTCTGTTATTCACTTTTGAGGGATTTTACTACATGTTTCAGTTAACGGGTGCGAGGTTGCATAAATGTAGAGCCAACATCCATCGATTACTATATATGGTGTAAGTCAAAAAGTTTACGAGACCATGTACGTTTAGGGTAGGCAGTGCACCCTACCGCTTTTTGGTCGGCGGTAAATCTTAGGCGCCTTCAACTCCTCCCATCTACAGAGCCCTTGCTTTCCCATCACTAAACCCAATCTTTTCATTCAATTGATTCACAAAAATACTGTTTTCGCCAATCCAGATGTCGTCTCAACAACTTGACGAATCAGCAGCTCAAAGTGGCTCTACCAGCAACCAGACTGGTCCAGAGTTCAAACAACTCGCGATAGACGTCTTAGATGAAACCCATCAGGATATTTTTACGAGTGCAGTTGCACGCATTCTCAATACTGAAGTAGCAGAGACTACATATGCTCAAATCATCGATGGACTGCCCCTGGGCGAGGTCGCGTTTGAATCAAGAGGTGGAATGCCTCACCGTGATCATCCTATCAATCATTGCCACGACGAGCTGTGCGCAGGGGTTCTGGACAAGACACGAGAGTTCCGCAGCAGATTTGACCCTCTTATACTTAAATTCGACTCTAGAGTGAGTATCGATTCTCATATAGTCTTACGTCTATCGTAATAACTAATTACCTTGTGACCAGCTTCTGTTCGCATACCAAGCTGCTTCTCCAGGGTCACGATCTTTCAATACACGCCTCATCGAGATAATCGCGATAGCAGTCCATCAGATCGCTGTGATTCTCTTCAATCTTGATGAAGGCCTGCACAAGAACGATGGCGTCATTGAATGGGCACCACCAAAATCCGACAAGATTTGGTGGACACACTGCCCAAATGGGCCTGAACCCACGATTTTCTTTCATCATTGGTATTTAAGCCACGATAGGTACCCCAACGGGGTAGCAGAAATGGTTGGGTATTGGGCCGAATCTCGAATTCTTGGGGGTGTCGTCTTATTCGACCGGCGCCAGCCAACACCAGGCTTTGACGTGGACCGGGATGCTATATACATCCATCCTGATAGAGAGAACGTAACCTATAGAATCTGTCGCTTGACCTCTGAGCAAAAGCTACAGCTCCTCAACTTTCTTACTTCTGAAGACCAAACCCCTAGCCCCCTACCAATTTTGCCCGACGAGAAAAATGATTACCGCATCGACCCTGAAGAATCTCCTGAGACAACCGGGATATACAGGGATATATGGGATCGCTCAGAGCTTGGTGAAGATGTGTATGATCAAAGACTGAGGGATGTGTGGAATAAACTGGACTATCTCACTCACAGTGACAAGGGTGACGCTGGAGACCGAGCATTAGAGAGACGAGGCAGAATATCCCAAAGATATTGTGATGGTGAGGCCTGATAAGCTGTTATATACGAGTACAGCATCAAGTTGCGGGAATTAGAGTTTCTTAAATCCTTCATTTGCTATCTTCCGATGTCAACGGCTACATAATTCCATGAAACGATTAATTCATAGAGCCACCTCAGACAGCTGACATTGACAAAAAAACATGTTGGGCCTCGTGGCCTACATGATACTAGCGAGTTTGTTCCCCCTATGTGATTGACAAGCCCTTGGAGTCCTGGTAGTACCTAGTCTCAAACTCTTAATACTCAGTAGTCGGGCTGGTTAACCACGAACTCGCCCGCGTTGGGGAGGTGGTGGCTGACAAGGAAGCATTTCTCGGGCTCGATGATTTCCGGGCGAGGCCAGTAGTCCTTCTGAATGATGCCAGTCTCACGGAACTTCATGACTTTATTGCGAGCGGCGTAGATGGCGAGCTTCTAGTTGTAGGCCATGATTCGCTGGTTTTGCTTTTTGTCGAAGTTCTTGATGGTTTCCTTGACAGCGGCTTTGTAGTCAAGCCAGCCGAAGAGGTCCACGTCATCGCGTTCAACAGCGTTGCCGTTACGATCCACCCAAGAGACCCGCCACTCCAGGGTAATGTGGTCGACCTTGAAAGCCATGTAGGCATAGTCCCACAAGCGGCGTCCAGACTCATCAAGGAGTCCATCCTTGTTGATGATGGGGCCGATGTCATGGTTTAGAAGGCCAGCACGGAAAGCATAGTCGGTGAGGACTCGCTCACGAAGGACAGGCTGAGGCCCAATTTCCTTGTCAGTGTCCCAACCAAAGAATACAGCGGTCAAGAAGTAGTGAAGATCCCCGTGCTGGATGAGGTGAAGTCTCATGTAGCTACTAGGGTGGCTGGAGTCAAAAGATCGAAGGTACTTGGACAGACAGTCAATCTCAGACGGACCGAGAGTAGTGGGTCTGGAGATATACGCGAGCGGATTGCGGGTTTTGGCGTATGCACCAGTTGAGTAGATGTAGCAGATTAGCATCGGCTCCTTGGGAGGAGGAAGCACTTTGGGATAGGTGCGTCTAGCCCTCTTCAGGACTATGCAATAGTTAGCCTTGCCACGGATTCGTAACTGCCGACTCTCTACTTACTCTCTTCCTTGATTTGACCCTTAACAATGATATGACAGGCCTTCGCCTTTTCCTCGCGAGTGGGGGAGTCAGCACGGCTGTCCGGGCTGGGAGTGGGAGTAAAGTCCCGCATGCTGTTGTTGTTGATGGGGATGGCGAAGAAAAAAACAAAAACCGAGGCGAAGAAACGCGATTGAAATAGACGGGACGATGACGAATCCCGTGACTTTTCCGCGGTGGGCTCTGTTACAAGGCTCTTTCATGCACGTTGGGCAATATTCAGGGAGGTCTAGTCGCCTTGGCAGTGCTCAGGTATCGCTCCGCATTGGTCTTTGGCTTCATCACGCGGAGGGGTCAGTGACAAAGGCAACTCCGTGATTATTCCACAACATTCGACCCTATTGACTTTAAACACTCATCCAGTGCATTATATTGTCTTATAGACTGATGAAATCATAAGAAGTCTTCCCAAATAGCAAGTGTATGACTGCACTTGCTGCCACGCGGACTAGCATAGGTCGGCGGACACTTGGCTCCGCTGCTTCCCCTGGCCACAATAAAAGATAACTCAAGGCTCTCATTGCCTTCTTAATGTTCATAGTTACTTATTTCCAGCGGGATATTGCCCGTTCGGATGTGCTGATTCGTTGTCAACAATTTTCGGAGTATCATTTCTGCCGGACGTGGAAATTAGGGGCCTGTGCTGACCACACCTGGATTGTTGATGGGCGCCGCCCTGTCTAGCACCTCTTACTGACACTTTCAGGCAGCAGCGTTACTCTCCCGCTGTTTTGGGGGTCAAAGTACGGATAGCAGGCTATAAACCGCCACTCCAAACTAAGTAAGTGGCATGCCCCTTATCCTGACAATACTATTCGTAGTGCTGCCGAAATACACCTGCTTATTGTCATAATACTCGTTCTTTAATATTACATATTGTGTAAGATCTGTTCGAAGCTCTCTACCTCAATGGTCGGAGATCGAGACCATCTCTCCCTGAGACTCGCCACATCACTTTGTCGTCCCTCGCCAACATTGGACGAAACAGCGAAAACCGAACTCTTCAACCACACTTCTTGACTTGGCTCCAGTGTTGCTGTTATGTCTACGGATGCAACTGGAATCAATGTTCGCTGGCAAACGATATTCGTGTTGGAGTCCGGCTTCAGAGGGAAGCTCTCCACCTCAACCCTTTGTCTATCGAAAAGAGCTTCAGTTATAATACCACTAGAGCCGGGTTTAGAAGAGATGATTGTTGATATTTCATCTGAGAAGCTGCCCTCGAAACGACCAGGCACAGCATCGTCGGGTACTGGAAGCGTTGGCAAGTTCATCCCATCTGCTTGCTTACGGCCATTTATAGCGAAACCACCTTCAACGACGCGAAGCGACTCGATGGGCTTCTGACATCGTATGCGGTGCATTCTTACATGCCAATCCGGCCATTGTTCAGTCGGCGGGATCAAGATCGTATCGACAGCCACGGCTCGATCTCCCCAAGGATACCATCTCACGCTTGCAATGGAAACATTCATCACGCTCTGGTTATCAGTCTTTGTCGACATGGTGCCAAACTTGACTTCATCGCACTTCCACTTCACTGCCCAAGTTTCTCCACCATCTCGGCTCAGCGCCAGTTGATTGTCCGGAGCAATCTGTTGGATCAGGGGGCCCGTGGGGACGGAGAAACCGAAAGCTGAAGAATATGCAAACTTGCAGTATTTGGCTTGGTTGGCTTTCATCGGCCAAGCAACGAATTGCCCTGGAGTGAGCATGAAGTGGTGATTTCCGAGCGGGTGGTTGCATAGGATTTGCTGAGGAGCTCGGACGACTTGTGTCGGGGGTTCAAAGGGCGGATATGGAAGGGGTTCGGATTTCCAGAATTCGTCGTCGGCACTCAGGCCAACAGCTATAAGTGTTTTGAGGCACCAGTACACGGATTGGGGAGAGTTGTAGTCTTCGGCCATGTACATATTTCTGCCGGTGTTAGTGACACATCTACTTAGTACTACGATCGACTTACGGATACAGCCATCCAATTGTAAGAGTGCCATCAGTTGAGAAGATGTCACTGGAATTATGTGCCCACCACCTCAGATGCCGGGCTAGGAACCCCCTAATTGCTCCTGGTGAATCAAGCGGCTTAGGCATATTAGGCACCTTGGCAAACGCCAGCGCGCCAAAGAAACCTCCGCAGGCAAAGCGATACGTGAGGGATCTACCGAAAGCAATTGAAGATCCTGTTTGTTGTTAGTCTGCTGTTAAGTTCATTTCTGCTTATAGCATACCTTGAGAATCGAAGTATCTCCATATCTGGGCTCCGAAGTCTCTGGCTCGTTGTTGATACATCTCGCATCGCGATTCATCCAGATCAGCGGCGAACTTAGAGTAGAGGGCCTGAGAGAACTGAATAGCGAAGCTACCAGAATAGTAGTCTGCTTGTCGTCCGGTCCCGACGGTATCTCGACGTCCCGTCTTCTCAGCCAGCTCCCTTTCTTGTCTCGCTTGCTCGACTGTCTGCCAAGGGCCATCCGCTGACCATCCATCACCGATGTAGAAACTGTCTAATAGCTCAAGGTCGGAATCCATCTCTTCCTTGACTTGTGAAAAAGGGACGCCGCAAGTCTTCACTAAAGCGAGGTTGCAGAAGACACGAAACCAGCGCCAATTCGTCGGGGGCATTTTCTTTCCGCGAATCGAGCTCAACCAGTTCATGATGTTCTTCTTTTGGTCTTCGTTCAATGGCTCATAGAATCGCTTCGGTGCTGCTATGAGCGCAAACGCTATCATCTCTGCCTCCACCATTCTTTGATCCATGTCGTTCATAGCCCCCCAATACTCCGGATGCTGAGGGTCAGTTCCTGCGATCAAGCCGTCAACCCATGGCTGGACTAGCTCATCTACACGGGCTGCCAGGTCTCTATTGGCGATGGAGCCATATCCGAAAAGTAATGGCGCGATCGCCCATAAGGGCCGTGCAAAGCCTTCTAATTGTGCTGCCGACTCATCGAAATGTGCACCTGTCGCGACTGGGATACGAACGCGAGACTTGCCAGGTGAGAAATGTTGTTTTAGAGGGTCGATTAGAGCAATTATGGCTTCAATAAAGTCATCTCGGCTTTGGAAAGGGTTGTCGGAGAATCCTGGTAGCGGCGGCATTTTAGTGTAACTGAAGTGAGGTTGGAGAATGCGAAATTCTTGATTCTGAGTAACACAAGGTGAGAGATTAAACAGACTCAACAAGTAGAACCAAATTTACGGAATTTTCAGCATAATCACTACAAACGGCACTTTTGACTCACGACACGACATTCATGAGCTCTCGACAATTGATCAGCTCCAGCCTCGGGCGTCGGGCCATTCACATCCGAAGCTATCATCAGCCGATGGTGATCTCCAACCATTGGCTCGCTTACAACACCATCCCCATGGGGTAACGATCCAGAGCTTGTTTTTGGTCAAGGATCGACACGCGAACGCCTCCTCTTCTCCGAACTCTCTCTTTATTACATAAACTATGCAAATCCTCGGGCAGCGGGCGAACTCTATAACCACACAATCACAAGCAAAATGGACCATCAGAATACGCAGCTAGGCGGAGCTGGCAATGGGTCTGCCGCTGGGGACGCCGAAGTCCCTTCGTGTCAAGGGTGTCGGCGGCGAAAGCTCCGCTGTTCCAGAGATAAGCCAATGTGTAATCATTGTCAGAGATTGGGTATGCCGAGGCGTCGAAGGATGAGATATGATAACTGACTTGCAAAGACTCGCCTTGTGTATACGACACGAAAAAGAACAAACCGGGGATCAAGACCGGGGTTATAGAAGGCTTGAATCGTCGTGTTGGTATGTAGAATGGTGATAAATCCACTCACAACTAACCAAGATCAGAGGCTCTCGAGAACACAGTATTCGATAACGCGCGGCACAACAACCCAGCACCGTCATCCGAGTCTTCACAAATCATCGGGGCGTTCTCAAGTCTCATTCAGGAACTTCGAGGCTTGGTTTCCAACTCAGGGGGCTCATTGCCAGTACCGCCCGCTCACTCATCAACAGCCCAAGCCCAACACACAACGCCAGCATCCGCATCTCTATCATCCCCGAACGATGTCCAACACCAACCGCGAAAGAGGCGAAGAGTGGATAGCTGCGGCAATCCGAACATAGAGCTAGCCAGCCAGCTCAATGAGTTAGGGAGCACTTCAAGCCAGTTACCCCCTCCCGAACTCCTAGAAGAAGTCATCAATGCGTACTTCATTCTGGTTCAGCCATGGATACCCATTCTTCACGAGACACGGTTCAGGAGTCGCTTCTACAACCATGAGCAACTGCCCTGCCTCACTGTGCTGTTGCATGCAATAGTGGTCGCTGCCATCCGCTTTGTTGATGATGAGAATGAAAAGCTGCCCGAAAAGGAGCTGGAGACATGGACTTCGAGATCCAGAAGTATAGTGCTTTTATCGGCTATGGACGCCATGTCAGTCGAGAACTTACAAGCACTGAGTATTATAGCATTCACAGACGTAAGTGCGCTGCATCTCTACAAAGTATACAATATCTGACTGGAGCGTTGGCAGATGGGTAACGGAGACATGTCCAGGGCCTGGCCTATCATAGGCTCACTTACAAGGACTGTCGAGTATCTTCAGCTCAGTGTCGAAACGGATGACCGACAACAAGGGCCGTTGTTAAAACCATTGACATCTTTACCGCCGTCACAGAACTGGACTCAAGATGAGGAGCGGAGGAGAGTATTCTGGAGCATCTTCAACCTTGACAGGTAGGCTTACATCAGCTGATAAGTGTTGACACCAGCTAATCGCTTAGACTTTGCTCTGTGATGACTGGGTAAGAAGGCACAAACCAAAGTATTATCTTAATATCAGGCCATTACTTACAAGCTCAGATGGAACACCAGTTTAACGTCCGACGATGTGCGCAGACGATTACCAGCTGATGGAGGTCTTTGGCATAAAGAAGAAACAGTACTGACTCCCTACTTCGGTATTTGGGATCGCTCAGCCGCGAAGATGGGGAACTCGATCGTATTCCTTCCAGCGCACTACCCGAGTCCTGATCAAGTCGCCGAAGCACCGCCCGAGACACCATCGACGAACACGACGGCGCCCAAGGGCAACGACACAGTAGATATGACAACTGTCGGGGCGTTCGCTTATTGCATCGAGGCGACTGAGTCTTTGAGTCGAGTTACTACCTACTTCCTCCAACAGAGAATTAATTTCAGGGATCGTCAAGAGGTTGGGAACTGGCTTACCAGGTTTAAGGAACTGGACTTACGTCTTGTCCAGTACGTCTCCATTTTTACGCTGGAGACATTGACTAACAGTTATGGCAGCTGGAAGATGTTCCTCCCTCAAAAATGGAAAGACTCCAACATCTCTCGAAGACCGACCATCATTAACATGGATCCGAACCTAACACTTGCTCACATTACTCACAATACCTCCATGATCTTACTGCATCAGCAGATCGCATACCCATCACCTCAATGGACCAGTATCGTACGGATGCCTAGTGCCCATAGTGCAGAGACTTGTCAGATCGCCGCAGCGGAGACGGCCACAATCACACGGAAATATCTCAAGTACACACCGGAGAACAGTCCCGTGAATAGCCAATTCGCGTTCTGCGTGTTCGTCAGTGCGCGTGCATTGCTTGGTAAGACACTCCACTCCAATGCGTACGATCTTCGACTGATAATCCCCTAGTGCACTGGAAGTTTTACAAAACTGACCTAGCCCCTGAGTTTTGGGTTCTAGTCGAAAGTCTCGACGACTTCGCCAAGCGATGGGCAGGCCCCTTATTCCGCTCGAAATCGAACTCCTCCTTAGCCGGAAAGTACAGCGCTCAACTTCGCTCTCTTCACAAGAAGTGCGAGGAAGATCCGGATTATTCTCCAGACGTTGTTGGATACTCAACCGATGGCTTTGTTACGCAGACATCCAATAGTCTTCATCAGGGGCAAACCGAAAATCAGCACAGCAACCAAGCTCAGGGCGGAGTAGCATCCGGCCTATTGCAGAACTCATTTGATAGCGGGTCCCAGAGATCTATTCTTAATCCTGGCACTTCTCAAGTCCCAAGTAACCAGCTCAACTTCCTCCCCCAGATATCTCCGACCAATCCCGGGGTGGAACATAATTCACCAGATGAGCTGTCAGCCATCTCAACCGTCCTTATGGACCAGGACTTTATGCAGTTGGATCGAGTAATCAGCTTTGATGACATGATGTTTACAGCTCAGACGATTGATGATCAAGGGGGTCCTTTCTCGATGAACAACTGGACATTAGGATGACGAGGGAATATAGAAACTATATAATGACTAAAGTTGAAAAGATCTTTCACTAATTCTGCATTTGAAACTTCGAAAGATGTGTCTATACTAATCCCATCTTCAACAACCTGTTCCCAAACTCAATCAAGTAGTAATCCGCATAAACCAGCCCATGATCCCAGTATCTCTTATAGTCTTTGGCATTGTGATTGGCCGTGGCGTTCTTCAGGATAGCCTCAAAGTGAGCATCAGGTTTCAGATCCTGGACCTCAAAGCTTCCATCTGCTCGCAGCGCCACTTTCGACTTTTCCTGTGCCAGTGAGAAGTCGAGCGTGTCCTTGACAATTCGAATCGCCATTGATCGGTATCTCTCACTCAAGTCGGGCGATCCACTTCCAGCTAGAGCTTGTGAGAGTACAAGCATACCATTCGCGGCGATAATACCTGCTGAAGAGTCTCTCAGTGGAGCGGAAGTATCAACTGGGGCGTCAAAGTCCCACAGAGGAACGTATCGACCCTTTGTGCGGTTCTCTCCGGAGACAGGGACTTCGACACAGTCTGGGGACTTGAGTAGTCTGAAGATGAAGTACTCAGCGAGTCCAATGGCTGCATCCAGGAACTCAGGGTCTTTGGTCCAGTTGTACGTCTGCGAATATCCCAGAATACCCCAAGCTTGTCCACGAGCCCAAGTCGAGTTGGCCGCGTAGCCTTGACCGGTTCTCTTCTCCTTGATGGATCCGTTGTTGGGGTCGAAGTTGACAACATGGAATGTGCTGTACATGGTTCTTCCAACAGACTCGTCTGTCTCCTTTCGTAGCAAGGCCTTGATCAGGGCCTTGGCGTGAGCTGTTGCTGCTTCAGCCATTTCAGTTTGGCCAGTCTGTGCAGCCGCGTAGTACAGCAGATCGAGATTGCACATCGAGTCGATAATCACGAGAAAGTCCTCCGTCATGCTTGATATGTCGACGCCGTTCTGGGATAGTACATCCCATGAACGGATAGCGCCGACATTGGCGTTGTATCTTGAGTAGAGTGAACGCGCGGCAGTGATGATAGACTCAAGGGCCGTCGACTCGTGTAGAGTCTCCCAGCGAACTCTCATAGATGGCTGGATCATGAATGACATGTCGTGAGTATCTGTTCTCTGTGCATACTGATGAAGCGGATCGGACCAAGCACGTCCGACCGCGAGCAGTTGCTTGAGCAGTTGTTGCTTATTAGCGTCTCCAGCTGAAGCCTGCGGAAACTTGATGAGACGCTCAATCAGCGAGTATATGGAACCTGGGAAGAAGCCGCATGTCCAGAAGAGCTTCTCTCTGAGTACATATTTGCCAGCATCTGACCCAGTCTGGGGGACATATTCGGGGTATGCCAATGGGGGGTTCTACCGGTGTAAGTGAGATGTACATATCGAGCTAAGTTGCGCTTACGTTGTTTACAAGGCCTGACTCTGCAGCGTGGAAGATCTTTGCTGTGATATTATCCTCAAAAAGCTCTGAAACGATGGATGATATGGACGCTTTGTGAGGCTTGGCAAACAAGGTACCATTATTTGAAGGAGCAGTCTCATTGCCGTTTGCGTGGCCATTAGTGTGACCGTTGACACCGTTGGAGATTGTCATGATTTCTGATATAGGGGAGTGATTACCGTAGAGTGTGTAAGTTTGACTGAATTGTTTAGTATTGGTTCCTTTAAATGCTGGTCATAATTAGATCTACAGTGGTCTTTTGTCTTAGACCTCAGCCTGAATGAGAAATGCCCGAAGTTCCGAGAGAGTTAGCCCGAGACTTGACCCGATGCCCGCTGCATGATCTTTAGTCATCTGAATGACATCACTGGCATCGAAAGGCACTCAGACGGAATGGGCAAGCAATAAGAAGATAAAACGTATAGAATTGGTATCAAAAGGACAAGGGGACTGATCTACTATCTTTTTTCACTTGTTGCCTGACTTGCTATCTATCGTCAAGCTTTTTCCAACGCTACACCTGAATCAGTCATCGCTGGTATAAATGCTTCTTATGTGTTATAGAGAGTTTTGGACGTAACAAGCTATGAAATGTTGGTGATTACATGGAGAATTCTATGATTATCACTGTATAGGTATAATATGATACATGAAAACCATCTCAGAGAACAAATACGTGTCCAAATCTCGCGCTCTGTTTTGCTCAACAAGAGGCGTTCTAGCTTCAGGGTAGCCAGCTCATCTTGACCAGCCAAAGAGCCCCACTTATCCAGATTAGCATAACGCTTTACGCCGTACGTATATTGAAGTACAATATTGACTCGCAAGGTTGTAGATAAATGTATTCAGAGATACTATATCAAGAGAAAGGGAGTAGTCATTTACTTATGTTATTCGTCATATTGTGTCATCTGACCTATGACTTCTACAAGATCTTGATACCTGATAATTATTAGGCCCTAGAAGTGTTGCTTAAAAGCATACTGGTCATATCCTGCTGATATATGGAATTTCGGTCTCGTGCTGCTTAGTTTTCTAGGCTTGAATCCTGCCTCTGGACTGCTCAATGTTGTTGATGTCGAAGACCGATTACGCGTTGCTCAAATGATTCCACTAATGGGTCCAATGCTGGATGAGCTTTATGACCGTGGACATGAGAAGTTCCGTTCACTAGGTATACTTCTCGGAGGACCGTAGGTTATTGGTCTGCAACAATTAAGGACTGCATCACTAATAAGGCCAGGCGAATTCCTGTTTTCCGACCTCCTACCCGAAAAGTCATTCACATTTCAGAGCCTGCCATATCCGAATATTGAACGCGAAGAACGAGACCTCTTGGTTAATTTTCTCAAGCGCATGTTGAAGTGGATTCCTGAGGAACGTGCAACAGCGAAGGAACTACTTGAGGACCCATATCTGAGTTATGAAAGCCCTAAAGACAAGAAGTTTGTGGTGCAGGTTAAGAAGCCAGATAAGCAGAAGACCAAGAAGAACACCAAACTAGTTTGGTAGCTCAACCTCTTGGAAGGAGGATAAGAAATGTATAAATCGAAGGCCTTGAATAAGCTTGTAGGATAGAGGTATAATTCAGATATTGATCAACAACTTCCAAGCTTTTGTAGGTTGACACCTGCATCAGAGACACAGCTTCGATGCTCGTAGGAAACTCTTGTTTCTGAGCTCCCAATGAGCCTGGAATATTATTGGACGAGCCAAGCCAGAACATCAGCTGTGGTACCCACTGGAACAATGCCAAATGGCCTCTGTGGTTAGGAGGTGGTTGTAGGTTGTAAGGACCATCATAGTGCAGAGGGATGTAGTAAAGCCCTTCGTTGGGAAAGCAGCATCACCAAATATTAGTTGAATTTATGGTAAGAACAATTTGTTATTATGATGGGTGCTATGGTGATAGTCTAGTTGCGCAGTCTAAAGGTTTCTATACAGTCTATGATGATATTTGAATAAGAAAAGAACTAATTATAAGACCTGACCGAATCAGGTTGCGACATCGCTCCTACTCAGCCTTCTTAGAAGTCTTGGTTCGAAGCTTCATGAGAATGTAAACAAGACCATACGAAGTGAAAACGAACGCAGCAGTGATACCGGCGTCCCTCCAAGCGTATGAGTACTCCTTGATGTTGAGAGTGCGGAGATAGTCCTCAGCCTTGCTGTACGTGCACACTTTACACTCTTCGGTCGCATCGGGGTTGATCAGCTTGCTAGGTACGTGTGTAAGCCACTCCTTGAGGTATTCACCACATGTGGTACCGTTGGGAGGGCTGAAACGAGCAAACTCGCTCTCCTTGCACTTGACATCGGCCCCCCACATGTCAAAAGTCAGCATACTACCCATCAGGTAGTTGAAAGGGTTGATGTAGTAGAGCCAGTACCTCCAAAAGGTCTGGATGCTGGAGTAGGGTACAAGGACACCACAGAAAGACACGAGGATAGTGAGGACAAGCGGGTTTACCAGTGTTGCGAACACCTCGTTGGGCGCGTAGGCAGCAATGAACTGACCAATGCCAGTGTAAATGAACTCATACATAAGCATGACAAAGAAGGTGCCGCCAGCACGGGTAGAATCGCTCGGGAAACCAACGGTGTAATACCAGCAGACGTAGTAGATTACAGCACAAACGATCAGGTAAGGGACTTCTGAAACGATCAGACCAGTCACGAAAGCGACCCAAGAGTACATCTTGGACTTCTTCTCACGCGTCTCGAAGATGTCTCGACGATGGATGAACAAGGGTTGAAGTTGAGCCATGACACCGGGAGCGACGAATATGAAGTTGAAGATTGTAAACAACTTCAATTGAAGTTCAGCGACAGACGATCCAATCTGCCAAAATGTGAAGCCGTTGAAGAGGGCAGAGGACAAGTGTAGAGCGAACTTGTTGTTGATATAGTCTGTGTTGCGATACAAGGCGATATTCATGCGATGGGTGACGAGCTTGGTCTGCTCCCACAGAGAGGTAGCAAATTCGTAACCATCGTCGGTAGTGGCTGGGGGCTTGGAAGCAGCTTCGCTGACGATGCCATCGAGCTCTTTCTCGACAGCCTCGTGTTCAGGGGAAGACAGCCAGACTTGGTTCCAATCCTTGCCTTGCGAGAGATGTCCAGAGACGACGTCAATCATGTGCTCAGCAGGGTTGACATGTTCTGGGCAAGGAGCCCCGTAGCGACCAAAGTAGCCAGTAACCGTGCTACCGTGCTCGCCAATGTCGCCAAAGTACACTGTCTTTCCGCCCTTAGCGAGGAGAAGAAGGGTATCAAACTGAGAGAAGAGCTGGGCAGAGGGCTGGTGAATAGTGACGAGGATGGCTTGGCCGTGGGCAGCCAGCTTCCGCAAGAACCGAACGGTGTTATACGCAGATTGTCCGTCAAGACCAGAAGTAGGCTCATCAAGGAAGATGAGGATGCTAGGCTTGGAGACCAGTTCGACGCCAATAGTAACTCGCTTGCGCTGTTCGACACTCAGACCGGCGCCGACTTGGCCGATCAGAGTATCTGCAAGGTCGTGAAGCTCCAGAAGGTCAATGATAGTGTCAACATACTTGAGCTTCTCCTCACGAGGAGTGTCACGGCTTTGTCGGAGAAGGGCAGAGAACTCCAAAGCCTCGCGGACGGTAGCGTAAGGTTCGTGGACGTCAAGCTGTTCACAGTAGCCTGCAGACCGCTGGAAAGAAACCGGAAGCGGCCGGCCATCAACCATGATAGAGCCGCGAATGGTACCCTCAGTCTTGCGTTGAGCCAGAACATCGAGCAGCGTAGTCTTTCCAGCACCAGAAGAGCCCATAAGAGCCCCCAACATGCCTGGCTTGACCCAGCCTTGAACATTATCGAGAAGGGTGCGATCTCCCTGAGGAGTCTTGACAGTATAGCTGAGGTTCTTCCAGGTAAACACAGAGGTGTTGCGCACCAAACCACCCACTTCGCCACTGGTATCGGTGTCGTCGCCAGATACAACACCACCATCACTGCTCCCCATGATCTTCTTCTCGCCCTTTGTCTGTCCCTCCTCGTCGGACTGACGGAGAGCAGCGGTGATGTGGGCGTTCTCTCGAGGAATAACCAGACTGGGTCCGTCCTCGGAGGAAGCATGCCACTTGGTGGTGCAGTAGATGGTGATGGCAACGAAGAGAGCCCACCAAGCCCAAATGATACCGAAGTTCCTCCAAAGATGGTCATGGCCGTACGAGAGAGATGCCAGGTAGTCATCTCCAGTAACGAAGTTCACTCCAGTCTTGGCTCCACCTACTCCAGAACAAGCCTGGTGATCACCACTGGTGAAGCCAGGACCACTTGGTACGAGACTGTGCCCAACACAAGGAATGATCTTGCCATGAAACTCGTTGGACAGAAGAGCGTCAAAGCCGTATGCCAAAGGGTTAATCCAAAAGATCCAGACGAACCAATCGTGCATGAGAGGCTTCTGAATAAGATAGCCAGAGTACATGATTGTGGCGCTGATGAGAAGACCGGAAACCTTGGAAGCAGCATCAAAGGTGCTGAAAGCCGCACCGACAGCTCTGAAAAGGGCGGTAATGCACTGATGACTAGTGTTAGCACTGAAAAAATAGTAGCTGGAAGTAATACACTTACGATTGTGATGGAAACGAGAAGAATCCAGAAGGTGAAGAAGTGTCCGGCCGTGGCAGTAAGACCGACCATGAAATACTCCACAACTGAGAAGGTGCTGACCTGCAACAGGATTATAGGTATATCAGCCGAAATCTGCGCGATGCAGAAGGCAGCAGGATGGTACATAGCAAAGGATTTGTGCTTGAGAAGAACAGGACGGCCAGTAAACGAGTCGGTGACCTCAGACATGGAAACCAGAGAGTTGCAGAGGAGAGCCACGAAGACGGCGCCAGCCTTGATGAAAAGACCGCTCGAGTCAGAAGAGGCATTGTAGAACAGAGAGCCAGCGATCAAAGCCTGTACTATCATGGAAATTTGTTTGATGAAGAAGGTAGCCTTGTCTCCGAGGACAATCTGGTACTGACGTATCACACAAGCTTTGGCCTGTGCGATGAAGCCGACCGTCATGGGGCTGCTATCGGGAAGCTTCTCGTCCTTTTGCTGACGAACCCCCTGCTTGAACAGCTTGGTTCTTTCGTCGGCGATCGCAGAAGTGGGATAGTCGTACTCAGACCGCATGCGCTCGTAGATGGGGGACTTCTCGTACTCTGCTCTAAGAGCGTCTGCGGTTCGTGGGAAACGGTTCTGGTGATCGGGGTGGATCTGTCGCTCGGTTGGGACAGTGACACCAGTGAGGTAGTCTGCGACGTTGGCGCCATGCTGGCAGATGAAGCCCATGCTCTCCATGAAGGGCTTGGCTTCCTTGAGAGGACCGTAATAGACTTCCTTGCCTTCGTCGAGCACGAGGACCTTATCGAAGAGATCGTAGATGCCGTTGCCTGCTTGGTAGAGGGTGACGATGGAGGCGAGACCCATTACATCGGTCATGGCGCGGATGGCTTTGGTGTACTCTAGAGCACTGGATCAAGTTAGAGAAGTACGTAAAGGGTTTCAGTATCAGTACTCACGTGCTGGCATCGAGGCCACGGGTTGAGTTGTCCCAGCAAAAGACTGAGCCTTGCGTTGCCAGAGTCTCAATGATGGAGACTCGTTTTCGTTCTCCTCCAGAGACTCCCCGAATGAACGCGTCACCAACCTTGGTATCGATAGTATGCTCGATACCCATAGACTTGAGCAAGAAGTCCCTTGACTGGACTCTCAGCTCTTCGTGCGAGTTGACACCATTGGGGAGATGAAAAGGCACTTTGAGTCGAGATGCGAAGTCCATAGTCTGACCAACAGTCAAAGCTGGGTAGAAGACTTCCTCCTCATTGTTCATGACGATCTGACCTCGATAGTTCTTGGCCTCTTCGGCTGTCATGGATCCGTAGTGGACATCACCCTTGATACCGGCGTATCCTCGTCGTTTGTTGGCGATCATGTTCAAAAGTGTTGTGCAGCCTGAGCCAGGACGGCCGAGAACAAGGAGCATCTCTCCAGGTTTGACGCAGCCATGGCTGTTGTCGAGGATGGTCTTGAGAGGTGACTTTTGACGAGACTCTTTGATGAGCTTGGGGATGTTGTACTGTGACAAGACGTTCTCGTGAATGGCGGCATCAGCAGCAATGACGTCGACAGTGAGGTTGGTCCATGTAACACCAAGCTCTCTGTCAGGGAAGCCAGATGCCTTATCCCTCTCCTTGTACTCCACCACCTCAGACTTCATAGACCATTCGGTGTCATCGTGGGGGATTTCCTTCATGGGTGTCGGTTCATAGACCGTTTGCGAGTCGTTACTGTCCGAGTCCATTTTGCTGTTGTTGTTTTGGTGGTGGGCTTCAAGTTCGCCCTGGCTAAAGAAAGTAGCCTCGACCGCCGAATTGCGCACCGAGCTTTTGTCTTCAAACAAAACTCTAAAGAAGTATAAGATGGTGTTTGTTCCTGCATCTTTTTACAGGCAAAGTGGCTGCGTGCTTCTTATAAACTACTACACGTTTTGACAAGCATCGGCTTTAGAGACTGACGGGCTTTTTCGGTGTCCGACAGCAGGGTGGAACAAATAGCGAGACCAATAAAATAATTGGATCTGGTTCCTGTTTTGACAAGCATTTTAGTACGAGCGGGTTCTTCGATCCACTTGGATCTGACGGATGTTGTTGATCTACGGACCCTGATAAGAATATTCTACGCCCGACGCCGAGTGTCAAATTTACCGCTTAGTCAATTGCCTTAGTGTTGTTGGTGGCTGCAGCGTACATAGTGTAATTGGAAATAGTGGTGATTCAACCATTAACCCAGGCAGTCTATGCAGAACGAAAAGCGCTTTTTACAGGGGCTATTCCAGCCGCGTCAAGGCCTGGCTCACATGCATGTGAAACGTGAGGTGATTTTCAGCAAACATTACAACAGAAATGACAATAATGATTCCAATTACAAGCAGTCAGCTTAGGAATGCACTGTTGATTGTCACAATTGCGGACAAATGAATAAGTGCGAAAGACCGACTACGAGAAACAGGCCCGCACAGCCAGCTTCGCATTCGTTAACATATGAGACGGACTGTAAAAAACTGCGACGAGCTCCGGCTGAGAAAAAAGTATAAAAGTTCAATGACGCAAAAGATAATAAGCCGCATCCGAGTCGGTCATTTTAAAGCCGTCTTTCCGACTTTGACCCCCTACAGAATCAACAGGAATCATTTCAAGGGGTAATTGGAGAGGGATCTATAAATTGAAAAGTATCTGCCGTTGGTAAAAATGGGCCGGAAGAAGAGGAAATCATGAATCCTCCGCTTAGTCACTGTCTTCGGCAGATCAACCCATGTCTAGTCCAGGTTTAGGCCGTGATCTTCACGTGGGATCCCGGTTCAAGGTTTGACACTTTGTCTTATATCGTTTAGCGCTGACCTCGTTCTCGTTTCTGCTTCAAGTTACTTCCGCTTATTCAGCGGTCGTGTCGCATTCTTCTTCGACATCATCTTCCGAACCATCCTCGGAGAGCCTCATGTTCCGCGTTTACGAATCTCTCGGTCGTTGACTTTTTGGCGAAAAGACCGCGAGTTTGACACATTAGCCTCATTTTGCCTCATATCTTGGCTTTTCAGCCGTAGGCTTACACCATATCGTTGTTCACTGTCACTTTTTCCAATCTTCCGGCCGTTTGGTTCAGTTGTGGAACTGGGCCAACGTAGAAGCTGGCCAAACTCGATTTCGGCGAACTAACCCACCTCCTTCTTCCTGCAATCTAGTCATACTTGCATGTCAGAGTTGAATAAGAAATCATGATGCAGAAACGGGCCTGCGATGCCTGTCATAAGAGAAAGGTACGTATCCGTTGCCCCATCTCCGTTCATTCCCGGCACCTCCGCTTCCCCCTTATCGATCGGTTCCATACATCTCTTGGCGAGATTGATGTTGCTCATCCTTCATGCCTGTCTCCGTAAAGGTGTATCACCTTTTTACCCCGTTGGCTAACAAACTGCCCTCATTCTTCTAGATCCAATGCGATTCAACAAGCGCAGATACACCCTGCAACTGGTGTGAGCACCATGGCTTGGATTGTACATTTAACCGAGTGAGAGGCCGTAAGAAGACAGCTAAGGCTAGGTAGGTTCTAACCGTGGCGTTCAGCCCCGTGGAGTACTTCATTTTAACTGGTCTCTTAGATCTCGTCAAACGTCAGAGCAAAGCCTTGCAGAACGCCTCAAGCGCATTGAAGATGCTCTTTCTCAGACACTTTCCAATCAGAAAAACTCCGAGACCAGTGCAGCCAAACCATTGACTCCAAGTTCACTAGTCACTGATCCCTACAAGAGTTCAGACCCTGGTACTGGAGACTCAGCCAACGATACCCCTCAAAAATTCTCATTCAACCGGCCATCTTCTTCCTTTTTGAGAGCTACAGATTCGGGCTCTGCAAGTATATCCCAAGGATCGCCGTTCATATCTCAAGCTCCATCTCCTGCTGGTGGCTTTACCAGCTCTGTTTCCTATGGGCAACTCCATTATGGTGGTTGTCACTTCGGCCACATCAGTCAGCATAATGGAATGCCTCTGCTGTCAGAGCAGGGTAGAAAATGGATAACCGCGAAGACTGGTCAAGAAGTTCTGTTCGACCCAGGTGCCGAAGACCACTCTAACCCTGCCCGATCGTCAGCATCCCACTATTGCCATAACCAACGCGACTTATACGAACTCCCTGAGAAGAGTATTACTGAGAAGGTTTTCGACGCATTTATTCACTCTTCCTTCAGCTTAGTCTTTCCTGTCGTGGAACGGGTTCTTTTCAAGGATACCATCGAATTAGCGTATCAGCCTCATACAGGTGAGGCACCTTCTTTGGAGCACCTCAGTGCCAAGGTTGGCGTCTTGGCTTTTGTTTCCATGATAGTACTTTTTCAAGACTCATCCGTGGACATGCCGTACGTTGATACAGATTTATGTGCCACAAAGGCACGTTATCTACTTACAGACGTCCTTGAGATAGCTAGTGTCAACAACCTTCAAATAGTCTTCATGCTGGTAGGCCTTTGACCTGAACATTCAACCCAAGCATAACTGACAAACGACTAGAACATGCATGAGATATTCTCTGGACGCCTTCGATCTGGTGCCATGTTTCATGCCATTGCGTGCCGCATGGTATTCACACTTGGTGGACATGCGTACATATCCTGTAAACCGCGAAGCTCACAAGTAACACGTTCAGAGAGGGAACGTCGCCAACTTCGACTGCTATTCTGGCTATGCTATATCTTTGATAAAGATATTGCTCTACGGACAGGTCAGCCGCCACTTATGTCCGACGACTATTGCGATCTTACACTTCCGGAGAACTATTTCGAATGCTATGATTACCTTCCCAACCTCCATGACAACCTCCCCCAAGTTTCCTTCGAAGAAGAGAGTCTCATGCCTCACCTTCCGGGCGACCCTCGCCTGAGCCATATTAAAGACAAGACTAGCCGTATGCTATATTCGGCTCAAGCTGCGAAGAAGTCTCATGCTCAGCTACTTTGCGACATCAGAGAGCTTGACGAAGAGCTCGAAGCATGGAGACAATCAGTGCCCCCTTCCTTCCGTCCTGCACTTTCAATCACCAATGAGTCTCAAGTCGCTCTCCAAGGGATGCATCTACCACGCAGTATGAGACACATCACTCTGCATCTCGATTACCATCATCTGATGATCGCAATTCATCGGGCGAGTGGGAGATGCATGGAGCCTGATCCTGGAAACTCTAAAGATCAGTCGGAATGGATCCCGGGGGTCGAATCAAGCACTGCTCTTGCGCTGGAAGCTAGTCGTTCGACACTTGTGTATTTGCGAGCAGCGATGTGTGGAGTCGCTGGTGAAGCATTTTGGTAAGACGCAGTTTACCCCAATTAAATCTAGCCCTGTGGCTAACTTTTGTGTAGGATTATCGTCTTCTATCCCACAGCAGCCATGATCACTATTTTCTTCAACATCCTTATGTATCCACTTCACGAACGAGCAGAGCAAGACCTCGAGCTTCTCAAGGCAGCGGCTGATCTTATCAATAACCTCCCAGTGCGGCGTCTGACTACTTACGAAGTCTCACACATGAATCTCATCAATGACTTTGTTATCGAGCTGGTTCGACTTGGAAGGAGTGCAATCTGCAAAGCAAACATGGAAAGGGATACGGAGCTTGACAGACAGTTGATGATTATACGCTAGGAAGGGCAATTTCTCTATAATTTGTATTCTTTAGCAAATGGGTTTGGGGCGCGTGTCGGGTATACCATAGTGGATTTAATAGAAGGGATATAGAATGATTACGCATGGTTGGCATGAGATTGACACGGAAAGCTAAGAACTTCCCAAGGTGGTTGGTCAGACAAGAAGGACCGGTGGAGCTAGCTATAATTTGACGTACTGTTACTTTCACCGGTGGATAGTGAAGCAAGACACTCAGGCGTGCATGATGAACAGAGGGGCCGAAGATAAGTTTTCCACCCACTTGATGTCCCTCTCCAACTAGACGCCCTCATATGCCTGCGGAGACTGATACACAATGATGCACAAAGAAACATACAGACCCCTCTTTGGTCAGTTGTAACTGCCGAAGAATGATATCCCATACGGCTTCAACAAACCGACCTTAGGCCTTAAACCTGCACACCACTTACCCTGCACAACTGTGTATCACCGTGGGTGCCGAAATGGTACCCGGTGTTGGCGGTCAGTATTTTATGATTACGTGAAAAGCATGTATTTACGTGAATATAGCAGTTATATAGTAATCCATTTCACTATATGGTCTTCCGAACCAAGATATACATGTGAAAGTTTAAATACATATCAAGACGCTGGCTGCACGAGCGTGGAGATGACAGAGAACCCAGGGATAATAAGTGGAACCACTGAACAGAGTCGGTTCTTGAAACCTAAAGCAATGGCAAGCCATTGATTGTAAGCCTTGAAGTAACCCAACTGAGCTTATAGTACTCAAAAGTTCCTGTAAATCTCGTTATCTTGAACTAGAAAGGCAGTCCGGGGCGAAATGTCCAACTCCGCGGCGCGTCATTTAGCGACGAAATCGCACCAGCTGTCTCGGACAAACTCGTATTCCGCGCCCTCCAATGACTCATTACCATGTATGACAAATAGTTCATTGAAGTCTCAATGATTGTCTTGATATTTTCGAATTGTCTCCCCAATTCTATCCCACTCTTAATGCGACAGTAATTTGGGTTTTCGATACAAAAACGATTCAGCTATGCCGTCGGCAACTCGTCATGATCAGCTGGTCTTAGTCCCCTGGGACCCCCAGTCTCCAGACCATGTCAACCGCATTTACGAGCAACGAGTGCAATGTGGTTGGGATAAGAATCTAGTTGAAGGATGGAAAGAGAGACAAGTCTCGGGTCAAAAATCTATTTTTTGGATTGTGAGTTTTCTCAATGCTCACTTCACAATAGCGAAGGTTTAACTTTGACTAGACACTGCGACCAGATGACGCCGAAACCCGCGAAACACTTCAACTACACTTGGATGCGTACCCTGCAGTAAGCCTCTGACTCTGATAAATAATTGCGATGACTGACGTCTCTCAGGACAAGGCACCATTGGTTGACACAGCCGAAAGCCTCAGGGCCAAACCGCGAACACCAACTCACACCAAGTTCCATCCCGTGGGCCACATCTCACTCGATGATAGAAACGAGAAAACAGGGAACTTTGTACTCGATCTCCCGAAAGAAGGCGTTTACTGGATTAAGACCTTCTACGTTTCAAAAGCACTTCGAAGCAAAGGCATCGGTCGAGCAGCCATGGACATCGTTGAGTCAATGGCAATTGACGAGCCGCTATGTGCTAAAACCCTCGCTCTTGATACCGCTGAGAAGGAGATGCAGAAGAAGTTGTATCGCGATAAACACGGAAGGGAATTGGGTGTAAGTCTGAGTCGTTGTGAACGTTTACACTTTACAGGGCTGACACGTTTTAGTCAACGAACCAGGACTGGTATGAGAGGCGAGGGTACAGACTGATTCATATGGAGCCTGGCTTGTATTTGGACGATGAAGACCCTCCAGTTGATGCTGTATTTCTGCGACGGGATATTGCATAGCCTTCAATTCTTGTCAGCCCGTTGAGATGGTTTGGTCCGAGATGGATACCATAGAGTTATGGACAGGGACGTAATTGATTACCCATAGAGGTACAAAACCTATAGAACTCAATAAGATACAATACATCTTGACTGCAAGAATCTTGAAACAAAATAAGTTTATACTAAAACCACAACCAATCACACTCAAAACCCTAGCATATCCTCACCCCATCACACTCGGTCATCTTAGAACTCACGGAGATAACACAACTCTAGAGGGTCCCGGTTGTCCTGAACGTAGGAAGTTCGATTAGGATATGACAAAGCGGCGCTCAAATTGAGATCAGATTACGAGTAGAGTTTGCAAAAGCTTCAATTCCCGCTCGGACCATCATTCCTGGCTCGAAAGACGTCTGCCTAATATTCGATGTGACTGCCTCTGTACGAAGTACTTACGGAAGGAGATGATTAGAAGTGCAGCCGCTGAAAGAAATCGATGCCCCCGCTCGGACTCAGAAATTGGAAGAATCATATGATGTTGGCCATTGCATTAAGCACAGACATGAGCCAACCAACGCTGCTTGGGAACGAGAGCCTAATGCATGAATCTGATTTGTTGAGCTTTCTCATAAAGACCAACCAACAGCAGATTTTGAAACAATCTATTCTTGGCCATGGTCGTTAATTACGGACGAGCCATTTCATGATGAGTTGTATACTGAAGATGTGACAAGGAAAGGAAGAATCTGTTGGTCGTACAACTGAAGTCAGCATTTTTCACCTAGCTGGTCGAAGGATTGATATTGCAGTAGGCTGGTGTCATGGATCTCATCACATGCAAGACATTATTTATACGAGTCATGCTTGTATTCTGTGCTTGATAGGGCAGAGTAGCTTGTTGGCACGAAGGTACCTTGTTATGTTGGAAAGCTAAGATGCCTGTTGTGTGCTGGCCACAGGAACGGAACACCAACTATTCCCCAGGCAGCTATATAAACCTCACTCATCCCTCTCAGGCATCGGCAATAATCCTTCGAGTTAAATTATTAAACCTCCCTAAAAATTTCTTTTTAACAGGCAATCTAATGCTTTCACTCACTTTCATCTACATCTGTTTTCTTTTCTGTTTATCCTGCAACTCTCATCTATTTAATCAAAATCCTAGCAACTCTACATCAGTGGCTAATATACCCAAAATGTCTAGAATATCGGGTGGGAACGTGTATGGACCTTTTGGGGTGACAGTGTTTCCACGAAGCGGCTTTGGTGACCGTACTGGTGGGACAGCCATCGGTTGGCCTGCTAAAGGGGGCTACCTCACTCATAGCTGCTCTCTGGTAGAACTTGAGTTTCTTGGTCTTGACCGATTTCAACGGACCAACATGTCACATGATCCTGAGAAGGAAGAGGCTCACTGCGCCAAAATGCGACTTCTGGGAGCCAAATGGTATCGCAACCCTTACCAAGAACTTCTTGATGAGACAGCGGAGAAAGATATTGATTCGCCCCGCTTATTTGTGGGCGTGACAGCTGACGGTGGTGTTTGGGTTATATATACAACATTGCTGGGGTCGCGAAGGGAAGGCCTTGGAAGATTGAAGTTTCCCCAGCGAGTATTCATGATTGACCCTCTGTTATCTACACAAATTTTAATGTTATGGCTTGCAATTCCCTCCATAGCTTATATAACCACAATCTCTTGACTCCTCAGTGACAGAGCATGTCGCTTCAGTCCAAATCCAGCACATCGAGTTAATCAATGTTATTAACGCTAGCTGTTCTCATCAATATCATAATGCAATTAAACGGGTGCTCTGCCAACGGTTGATGAGAAGACTCAATTCACATATCTCTCAGTCTTACCTGGAGTCCTATCCATTAACTTCCGGCCCTTTAATCCGAATTGGAGACTCTTAGAACCTCACTATGAGTTACTGTTCCCCCTCCAGTCAACGGTGAGACTAATGACCCTGAGGAAGATCATAAGCCCATTCAGACTTGCCAGCCCATAAAGGGAAGGAGTTTGGGTCATGCTGATAATGATCGTCAGGTAGAAATCGTTCAACCTTGGACTGAACACAGCCTTACTTGTGGAGGAGGTTCAGATGAAAAACGTTGATAAAGTCGCAAGCGTCTTGAAAATTCGACATCCTATTATCAGTTCCAACGTTCTATCCCAGAGATAACGGACTCCTAACTAGAACTGAAAAACTTTATGGCTTATAGCGAACGGTCTAACAGCTTGGCCAAGAAGTTCTCTCGAAAACATTGAACAGTATAAACTCAATAAGCCCTGACTGGCCCGCACACTGCGGCTATTACCAACCCCTGGCGGTCTGTGCTCGCTTACATGGCGGAATGCCAAACACTTGTTCAGGAACTCAGTATCGCTGATGAACAAAGAAATCCTCTTATATATTCATTTTTGACATCTGCTGTCCTTAGCGCTCTTTCAATTATGCAGGACGCAGTCCGCCCTAACAAGCAATGCGCTCACCGCGCGTTCGCCAAAGGATATCAGACATGGTCTGCACTCCATAGAACATCCTCTGATGAGACGGACTTGTGGAGAGATTGCCTTAAGCGCTTGCGAACCGCCTTCCCCGATCATCCCCGGCTTCCCCAAAACGTCAAGACCGATAAAAACTTCAGAAACGTCGCCTTGGTTAAGGCCACTACGACATGGCTTGCATCCAATGAAGTTGATCATTTGCCGCCCTTCAAAGTTGAATCTATTTTCCACGTTGCTTGGGATAAGCCAACCAGGGTGATTCTAACGGCAGATGGCCGACATTCAAGGGCAACTCTGCCTGATATCTTTGGAAAGCATAGTCACCACATATCGGTTCTGTTACAGGCTTGGGCCTATATTCTTTCCGCCAGATGGGCTGAGCTCGCCCATCTATCCAGACATGACATTCCTTTGTCAAATGGAAACACCAGCAGATCACCGCCCGAACACAACAGCAAGTCTCCAGTGACCATAAATCTCGAAGCAGTCAGCAAAGGTGCTGTTCAGTGGTGGACTGCCTTACTGTCTGTCGAAAGAGGCTGGAGTGCGACAATGTCCAACAAGGAGGGCAGATGTCTTCATTCACCATGGTCCATATCTCTTGAGTCAGAAATTCCCATCCTTATCTCGGCAGAGGGAAAGTCTACAACCTCAGCATCCGCAGATGTATCAACTGCCTTATCAGCAGCATGTAGCTATCTGGCCGAATATTGTAGCGTCCATCGTATCGATGATGATGTCTATCTAGCATCCTTGGCAGGAGCCTTGATGATCCCTGCCTCCAAATATGACGGCCGATCGATCGCCCTACCAATTCCAGAAACCCATTTGGGTGAGAAAACGGAAGAGGATGGACGCCTATACCAAACATCTTCAACTGTCACGGGCATAAACAAAGTTCAATTGGATAGATTATTGACACTCAGCTGCAATGCCAAAGGAACCAAAGCACTTCTTACCAGTGTGTTTTGCGAGGTTGAAGTGTCAAGCAACCTATGTGGAATGTGGCTGCAGGGTTCATTTGCGGTTCTTGATACGATCAAAAACCCCCATTCCCTTTTGCGAATTATGATCAGAAGAGACCCTGATATTGGGTTCTTATGGCTTGGTTCGTTTATCACAGGTGGTTACGATAAAGCACTTCGAGAAGGCCGCGCTGGTTGGTGGAATATCGATCTTGGAGAAGCTGCGTGGACAGGGACAATCATGTCCTTTATTCAGATGCCAGTCCCTCACTTCGCTCCTGACACCCGGTCAATCTCACGTGCCGATGAATTCAGATTACTCTATCTTTGTCATGACCTTAATTATACCATTCCGCCGCTGTTTCCCTTCCCACCATTCGGCTCGACTGCCATAGAGGATACAAATATCGATGTTCACGAACATATATTCTGTGGCCAGGACCACAGTCTCAGGTTTTCGCATCTTACTTGGCACTGCAGCGACGGTACTAAGGTTCAGCAGGGTCCTAAGGTTCCGACTATGGCAACGAGGCTGAAGAATGGAGGGCTTCTGGGTTCTGTCTCGGAATTGGAGGTGGACTACGAGGAGTATGATTCAGAGGACGAGAATTCTGAAATGGCGACTCGAAATGTATTCACTTGACTTCGTGGAGATGATGGGTTCCCAGTTGCTGAGAGAGCAATTCGAGAACACGAGTGGATTGATAACTTGGACTCTGAAGATGATGAACCCATTGAAGGAGATGTGCATTCTACCTTTGGTGGACATCTTCATGGATGGCTTTTGAAAACATCTACCCATAGGTCTAATTCAATTTAAGCCCTGATAGACGGCGACTAGTTTCCCAGTTGCCCTATCTTCGCTGTTCAAATACAAGCTATGATACTTTTGCGATTAATTCAAACCCAAGCTTGACCCAGCAACCTGAAGAAAGTATGAATAGAACTGCATTGTCTTGAACTTGTATCTATATTCCAACTCGCCACTCCAAATTGATATAATCGACAGTTTGTTCATTCGAACAAGTATTATAGTATTTTGTGACGACAGTTAGGTGGTTGCACTGAAGTGACCTTGAGTATCGAGGCTCAATAGACCTTATATCGTCTAAGATGAGATGCCTAAAGCGAAGATGATCGCTTCAGATAACGGAAATGAAGCTAGGAGAAGCTCGTTCGGGTTATCCCGGACCGCAGATTTCTCTACATGTTTCTATTGCCTGATGCGCTCATGTTAGTTTTGTTGATCCTTGAGGATATTCGGCCAAGCATATCCATTAGCCTCTTGCGGGCTTCACGTCGAAGAAGTATGTTGTGAAAATACGGAAGCAGTCTAATCATAAGGATACCAAATGGCATTTTGATACCACAGTAACACTCCACTGCTTGCGTTACCTCGGCCAACGATAAAGAACATAGAGGTAAGATATAGCCTGATTGTGAAGGCTTTCATTGATTTAATATGACAAGATATTAGACAGAAACACAAACCTACCAATTCCTAAGTTATAGGATAAAGATCGGCTTTCAGCCACGGACCTCAACTGCAAAAGACACGCCAGGCTCAAATTTGAATCATAATCTCGGATCGCGACAAGATAAATAACTGCCTGTTAGCTCGAAATGGGGGGCGGCCAACTGAGCAATCTTACGCTTCTCCATATACCCATTGAAATTAAAAACCGTTGTGGCCCTTGACTAAATAATGGCCAACCTTTAGGTGAGCCTCCTATGTTGCTTGATAATGATAGGTGATATCAGGCTGCACACTGAAGATTTGTAAAGCCAGTGTCTGTACAACTTAGCTTAGGTAGAAACAGACTTTTCAATCTGTTGATTTGATCAACCTCGCCCAGGCCGTAATGTCTATTAAAAATAACACTAACCACTGAGAGGCCAGATTTGATTTTCAAGCTTTTTGCCACCAGGCTGTATTTCAAAACAGAGTTTTTGAAATCAAGACAAAAATGCTTTTGCTTATCAGCCTCTCAGTTGGAGACCATCTCATTGGAGGTATATAGAAGTCACCCGTAAATAGAAGATGACATACTGTACGTGTAAGCAAAGTTCATAAGATATGAAAGTAACACCCTTTTCATAAACTATTACCAAATATCACGCCTGAGAGACTGCGTCCTCCAAATCCATATATAAACCTGCCCTGACCTCCGATCAGTCATGAAAATTTCCTTCTTACAATCTGTCTAGTCTCTCAACCCGTGAGCTGACCGCCGACCTTGAGCCTATCACCAAGCACATTTTTGAAAACCCTCGAATATCATCACTATCCATCAAGGTAAGAAGGTGACGGTTTTAAAAGTCATACGGCGATTCACTAACACTCTTTCAAAGATGCGTGTCCTCGAAGGAATTGTCGCGATCAACACTCCTAACAGTATAAGCGTGTCCGCCATAAATGAAAATGGTCAGCGCGTTCCCTACGAGTTCCGTGGATTGATCTGGCCAGGATTAAAACCCACAGGGGCAATGAAGATACAAATGATATACAGCGATGAATCCCAACTTAAGCCTGACACGGACTATAAATTCTATGCCAGCGCGGTCGATGGGAAGCTCGAGATGAATCTTGAAACAGGGGTAACAGTCGAGAGTCACAAAGACGCCCAGAAAGACCCTGACGTACCAAGAGTTATGGGCTGGGGTCAATGGAGAGAGGTTCGTCCTGTGCCCAGTGCGCTCTCACATCTCATCGGAAACTACTGTTCGGTGCCGAATTATTCGGCTTACTAGCAACGCACGTACCGACATATGTAGTCATTGGTGCGTATCATACCGTATGTTCGCGTACTTGGGAAATTCATTGAACGAAACTGAGATAAAATACGTCCGTGGGGCTTTCATGCAGAATTGCATAGTTCGATCCTGGATCTGTTCAAGGTTATGAAATTTGATAGTTATTTTATCGAATGCAACTCAGGAAACATTGATATTTGGGTCCAACATATTTGGTCCAGCTACCATATTGGTCTGCGTGAGATAGATAGATTCCGAGACAGTTCTAGTCAAGAATCCCGACATTCCCAGCATATCAACACCTCCTCTCGCTCGCACCATTTTCATAACGCCAGCGCCGTGACTCCAGTATGCATTCATATCTCCTTCAAGAAACTGTGATAATAAAGTTAGTTTTTTGTTAATGAAATAAAACCCTGGAAGGGATGCGCACTGCTTCAGAGGCCAGAAGCATAGCCAATGCAATTGTTGTATCTGTAGCGACAGCCTCCGACTCGATGGCATCCTTAGCCATTTGAATGCACATAAGCCGGTATTGAAGCTTTTTGACACCAAATTTGCTGGATAGACTGTTATTTGTGGCGGTGACATAGTTCCGGCACGCCACATGGAAGATAGCGGTCATCAGGCTGAGTGTAGACATTGCATTGGGTACCCAAATGTGCCTCATTAGGTAATTAAAGTTTTGCTCATCGTCTTGAGCATAGCATGCTGTGTATCCGTAAGAAATGACATAGTTTAGGTCTGTGATAGAAACTGTTAGTTGGTTCACTTTGTTGGTTCATTTTGTTGAAAGTAGATGAAAGAATAGACGTACAGAAGTCAAAGAGATAGTGTTCATCATCTGAGAGTGGTCTTGCAAATCCTGTGCATGCGTCACTGCGAGCACCTCCAATCAACTGGATTGGACTCGGTGGGTGATCTCCTGTTTGCTCAAGTGGCTGTATTTTAGGCATGATCCTTCGGTATTGTGTATTACTTGCTGGGTGGATCATCGATCTCAACTCTGCCTCCGCTTGAACATTCTCAGCGTTGCCTTCCTCGAGAAGAGCTTCATCTTGCTTTCTCTCTTTCTGAAGAGCACGTGAAAGCTTTGCTGCATGTGATCTTATCAACCTGATACTATTGGTATTCGTTATTTCGTCTGGATGAGCGGAGTTGATGAATTGTAGTGTTCCTGGCCGAGAGCTTGGGTTTTCACTGCCTTTTTGGCCTTTTGGTAATCTGCCGCGGCCTCTTCTTCTAACTAGCGTCATTTGGCTCTGGGCAACTGATCGGTTTTCTGTGTCTGTAGTAGGGTTCTCCATTGTTGATAAGCTAAAGTACGAGGATGACAAAGATAAAGGAAGAAAAGAATGTCAGACTGTTGTTCTTTCCTTAACCACGAATCTGACTAAGCGGGGCAAAACCAATCGTCAGCTGATGCTCCGCGATTATTAGGCTAATGATAATAAGCTCGCGGATAAGCCATGATAACCAGATTCATGGATGTCTGCAATGACACCTGCCTATTCATATTCCAGTCTCTTCCTTTTGATCAAGTAATCCACCACTTCTTTGATACTCGTCTCCAAACTGATCCAATCGCGCCCTGCCCACTTCTGTAACAGACCAGGAGCGATATTGTTCTCAATATTGTATACCAGCTTCGGGTCACCAGAAATGAAATTGTCAACGAATTTCATATTTGGATAGGCCCTCCGTAGGATATCGAGACAGTCGTTCCATGTAAATGATGCTGCGAGCACTTGGATGCGTTGACCTTGTACTTCGGGGTCAATTGCCGCAGCGACATGGATAATCGCAACATCGGTGACGTGGCTGTAATACACTTCTCATAATTAGCCAAGAGTATCAGTTGCAGAGATAGTACTTACTAGCAGGAGTTTGCAGCTTTTCAAGATTGCCCAAATACAGCTGTTCAATCAGCTGGGGCGGTACGGACCGTAGATGTTTATCATCTCGAAGGTCGCCAAGGATAACACAAGGGCTGACCGAGTTGACTGCCCAGGGGAGTTTCTCATCTTTGACAAACTTCCAGACTGCCTTTTCTGCCTCAGCTTTAGCTGCGAAATACACCGGCAGAACTCGATCCGGTTCATATGGAGGAGGGGCCCAAGCAGCTTGAATCGCAGCATCGTTCCAAGTGCCAAGGTTCGTGATGGTATCACTAACACCAGGAACTGGAAAGGTAGCAGCCCAAAAGGTTGAGGTGAAGACAAACCGCTTCACAGAAGGCTCCTTTGCTGCTGATCGACAAACAGACAAGGCCGATTCTATAGTTGCTGGGATAGCAACATTGGGATCAGGGACCACGTCCCCAATGACTGCAACGTGGATGACGGCCGAGACACCCTGTACGGCTCTGTCGAAGTCATCGGGCTTGGTCGTATCAGCAACTACAAGCTCGAAATTGCCGCGTTCGGCGTACTTGGAAACAAAGCCATCCTTTAGTAGCCACTGGCTTGATTCCAAGTCCCGAACAGTGCCGCGGACCTTGAAGTCTCTCTTCAATAGCTCGAAGACAATGTGACTCCCAGTGTGACCATTGGCGGCTGTTACAAGAACCCATGAGCCCTGTGGGATTGCTGTTGGATGATTGGACATTGTGGTAGATATATGGATGTTGAAGAACGAGGAAGGGTTGTGAGTTACGAATGGATCAACCAAACAAGAGTGCAGCAGTTCAAGGCTGCTTTATATCCTTCTCTCATCGGCTCATTAGTATACCTGACGCCAGAGCTAGCCGACGATGTCAACCCACCACAGGAGGAACGTCGGGATTTCTGCCAATCGTAACCGAGTTTCACTTGGTGACAAATCCCTATTCCGATAATGCATTATTGTGGCCTTGATGACATTTCAAACAACAAACTTAAATATTAGCCACGATGTTCGGAAGCCAATTGGATAAATGTGACAAGCCCGAGAAGCCCGAGCATAATCCTTTTCGGAACTAGTTCGTCAGAATATTAGTCACTAACTACGAGACCAAAGAGGCATAAGCGGTGAACACAACTGAGTTTCATTATTAGCCAGATTTGGCTGGTCTTAATTCTCGGACTCTTGGGTCGGCATCTTCCGTCTCATGAGTCTCGACGTGACATGCATAAGTTCAGTTCATGTTTTGTCGGTGTTTACGGATTATCACCGGTGCTTCCGAGTTTCACCTTACCACGTCCACGCTACTAGCAAAGTGGTCACCCTTAAGGGTGACGGAGGAAATGATTGGTTTGGCTATTTTTGTTTAAAGAAATTTATTAATTTAGTAATATCTGTATAGTCACGGCGATGTGGAAGGTCTTGAGAGTTTGACTAAACGTGGACATATACATTCTTTAGAAAAGTGGAATAAAGTCGAGCCAGTTCACGGTATCGTACAACGATTCCAGTGCTGCTTTGAGGCTTACCAAGCCCTCAACAGTCAAGTAAATTCGAGTCAGGACGTAAAAGGTCCCAGCACACATCATCAAGAATCCATAAACAACATATTGAGACCAATGACATCTTAGCTTGACAAATCTATCCCACCATTTACCAGGCCACGGCCACAAGTAGAATAGAACATGAGCGACAACCCGCCATACGCCACATGCAGTAATGTACCCAACTGACATATGCCAAAGAAGACGCTCTACGTCACTTGGGAAGAACTCCTTCATGCGGCGAGATGAACACTGCCGTACATGATAGACACAAACCAAAGCGCCATGCCGACAACTTGGGTGTCTACGGCACGGAGCAGAAAGTCCGTGGGCCAGTTGACGGCGTTGAGCACGACGTATTGATGCAGCTGAGTAACAAATCCATAAGACTCTGGGGTCTTTTGAGAGAATTGGTCCCTGACGGAGGGAAAGTCACGAATGGCTTGAGCGAAGAGACGATGACGAGCGAGTCGAGACGAAGCGTTGTTGTTCGCCTTCTCGTCGACTTCCCAACCGAGTTTTCGTTTTCGATCGGCAGTATTTGCTGTGTCCTGTCGTCGGATACCAGCCCGAAAGGATCCGAGAGTTCTCTCGGGCTCGTAGTTGCTCTTTTCCTCGCTTCCTTGCTTTTGTGTTGTTGAGTTGATGACTTTGTTCTCCATGCTTTCTGTCGCAGTAGTGTTGGCATCCTCGCTATCTCTGGGGGTAGTGTAGACCAAATTCTCCAATTCTGGTGAAATCCAAGCAGCAGGTCTAATCCCGTGTCGGTACTGGACGCTATTGATTCTGCTGCTCATGTATATAAAAGAAACCAAGCTATCGATCCCTTGTCCATGTAAGATGGTCGGCTCACCAACCTCTCGGGGCTTGTGCCACCAGAGAAGGTAAATGACCAGTGCACACAGGACATGGCCAATAGTGTTCACTTCGAGGAGCGAAATTGGCAATCTCTGTGCAATTCGAGCAATGATTTGTATAAGGAACCATAGAGCCTGAAGAAGAACGATAGCCTTGGCCAGGCTATCTGTTTTGGGTTTGTCTTTGATGCCGCTGGGATTTATGTCAGGGAGATGACTACATTTGGCCCAGAAGAACTGCAGATGGCGAGCATGTCAGCCTCTGCGTATTTGGGAAAAGATCCGAGTCTTCATCAGCGTCAACGACAAATCCACCCATGCAAACATGGAAGCTATGCAACTCTGTCCATTCATGACGCCTTGGAGGCTGTTCAGGGGACTGCTCCTGGAGGACTCTCTGCATGTCAGTCGTGAGAAGCTTAGCGCTCTTCCATTGCCTCCATGATGCCCACAGAACGAGCTCAGGCGTAAGAATTCCCAACAGTACCCAGCGAAATACGCGTAGCCAATGCTGAAGCGGCGTATTACCCTTTGGAAGGATGCTCAGGTGTAAGGCACTCCAGACGCATAGAGCGAGTGTGAGGATGCAAGACCAGGTTATCCCCAGAGTTCCTCGTCCGTCTGGGTCGTATCCCAGCCTCTTGAACCCACTACATAAGCGCCTGAATCAATAAACAACTCATTTGCCCTTTCAGCCCTACCAGACTAGCACTTATTACAAGCTTGGGTTCAGAACTTTTGCACCGCTTAGCTGCTTGCACTTGATCAACATGTCACGCAATCGGAATACAGCGTCCATATCTCCATCTCAACCACTTATTGATGCGACAGAACAAGCTTCTCACGATGAGGGTGATGTTACTACCGTTGGGAGAAATGTGTTGATACAGGGTCTGTTGCGCATAGCAGACATACGTTAGTATCTCAGCCTCAATGTCACTATTTGAAACATTACTGACACAGTGACCGCATCAGCTGAGTGGCTACAGTGAGTGTTCCGCCCATATTACATTCATTCAGCTGACTGTTTAATCTTACAAGTGAAAGTCAATTTATTCAGACAGGCTACAGAGCCTCTTCTAATTCCATCAAGAAAAGCGTCCGAAGTATATTATCTATACACAATGAAACAGGTAAATCTTCCCTAGTAGCATGTGTACTCATACATACATGTCAAGTCAATATCTGGTCCCATATCTTAGGGTGCATTCTGTTTTTGGTTATTCCGGTTTATGTCTTTACGACTGAGATCCCTCCCCGGTATAAGGTTGCTACTCGCGAAGACATCGCAGTACGCACAATATACTTCATTGGCGTGACCATATGCTTCTTCTTATCCGCAACGTAAGCCCATCCCTCTCAGTATCTTTAGCCTAATCTGATTCTGACACTCATAAAGCTGTCACACAGTTTCAAACCATCCTTCTCATGTCCATCATCTCAGCGTTCAATTCGACTACCTCTGCATCCTTATTCTCATGTACAGCGCCATGATTCCCCTTATATACTACGGTTTCGTCTGCGACCACTTTCTGCGTAATATGTACTGGGGCTTGGTGTCAGTTAACGCTGGATTGTGCGCTCTATCCACAATGCATCCGAGATTTCGAACTGTCAAAGCTAAGGCTGTTCACAGAGCCCTTTATTCTGCCTTTTGAGCTAGCAGCTTTGCACCAATTATTCATGCTGTGATTAAGTATGGCTGGGACGTTCAAAAGGATAGGATGGGATTGATTTGGTACTCATATGTGGCTTTGTTTAACGGTATTGGTGTGCTTGCTTACGCTCTTCGAATAAGTTGACTACGTAAAGCAACTGACATCCTATTTCACGCGCCTGAACTTCAGCGATTACTGATACATTCCTCTACAACAGGTGCCTGGGAGATTCTTCCCAGGAAGATTCGACATCGTGGGACAAAGTCACCAAATACTTCATGCTCCTGTCATCGTTGCTGGCATGATGCACGTCATGGGATGCCTTGGTAATTTTGATTATTGTCACGAACACGGACCCCGGTGTATATAGAGAACCATTCTGGTTCAGATGCCTCCAAGTTCAAATTGAAATGGTTGTGGCCATCACAAGTATGGACAATGTTATCAGGTAACTATATGGTGCATGTTCCCTGTCCTGTGCCAGGAATCCTTACAAGAGAAAGAAAGTGAAAGGCCCCTGCTATTCATTTCAAGAGCCCTTGATCTGTAGCTTGTGGGCTGTAAATTAGTCCCATGCATTAAAGAATCGCACAGCTTGATAGAACGCTTCCCCTTTCGCAAAAACCTGCTGCGGGTTCGATGCATTCGCGCGAACAGCAAAGCCATGGGTAGTACCGCTGTATAGAACCGAAGTGAAAGGCTTGCCTATCTTGGTGAGGATAGCTTCAGTCTCCGCTTGTCTGGGCTGGGGGAAGATTTGATCCTCGGCTATATCCATATTAGCTTTTGATTTCCTTGTATTATTACGCGCTGAAACTGACCAGCACCAGCAATGGATACAGGCTTTCTGACAGCCTCGATCTCGTCAGTAGCCAAGAGGCTGGGATGAGCAGTGAAGCCAACATCAACTTTGCCGTTCTGGCCCAGTGAACGAAATACATAACGTCCACCGTAGCAATAGCCTGTTGCAGCGACGGAGTTCACTTTGAGCTCATTGCGTAGGTAGTTGATTGCTTTTGCAACAATTGGATCAGTGACACTGGGAGGATGCTTGGCAAGGAACTCAGTGATGTTGAAGTCTGGGGTTTCCTTTGCTGGAGAACCATTAAACAAATCGGGTGAAACAGTAACAAAGCCTTGTTTGGCAAAGTCATCAACCAATCTGCATCAGTCAGTAAAGAAAGGTTAAAGTGGGTGGACAATCTCACTCTCTGTTCTCCTTCAGCTGGATGCCATAGACATCGGTAAGAAGAAGAACACCGGTTCTTTTCCCGGGCTTCTTGTAGCCAAGGTTAAACCTCCCAGGCTTGGATACATAGAGATTCACTATATATAGTCAATTGCGCATTCAGCCAAGGCTATATGCGAAGGAATACTGACATCCTTGGTATTTCACAGTCTCGCCCTTCTGATGTTGATTCACTGCCGTGCCTTCCGCCGCCATCACCCCGCTCGGGGTGACAGAGGTGAGGAGAGACAGGAAGGCGGCGATTGGCTGGAAGAACTTCATTATGATGGCTTGCAGAGTCTCAAGATGTCGAAGTGGAACAGCAACAAGGAGGAGGGGAATTTATAAAACGATTCAGGATAGGTGTCGCTTACGAATGGTTCAGTAATCATCAGGCTAAAGGAACCTGACTGTCGTCATTACCCCTGTTATGATCTTGACGTTCCTGGATTGGACGGCATTAAAGAATGATAAAAGTCCGTGACGACGTTGGGGCAGGGGTGACAGGGGAATATGCTTACTCGATACAACCTTATTTCAAAGAAAATGCCGCTCTTTGGCCCTCCCCGATCTGCCCTCAAGAAATTCCATATCTTGAATGACGGTGCCAAGAGTAACTAGTCAAAGGGCTTTCTAAAATTATGCTAGACTAACCTAAATCTTGTCATCACTTAGGATTATGGTTAAGTCCCCAATATGCTAATTAGTGTCCAATTCGTGATTTCAATATTGTTTTAGCTTATGAAGGCGTTAAGACTCTCCAGCTATGGCTAATATGCACTTTAATAAAAAGTAAAAATCTATAGTAGATATATATTTTAAAAGAAGCTAAACCCTATATAAAAAACTTCTCATAGCTCAGAGATGTAAAGACTGGATGATTATAATACCACCAATTCTCATTACCTGGGCATATCACGGAGCAAGCCAGTATATTCTTTTTATGTAAAACGTTTCTATCAACAGTGGGGCGCTGGCGCAACGGTAGCGCGTCAGATTCCAGCTCTTAAGCACGGAGATTCCTGAAGGTTATCGGTTCAAATCCGGTGTGCCTCATATTTTTTTCTTTTCGGTTTTTTATGAGGCGGATCTATTTTAGCCAAGCTAGAATGTCAACAAGATGATTTAGCTGGAAATTATGTATCGCCCCCTCAAGACAACTGAGCCAAGCTAAATTAAGCTTAGATCCATTGAGCCAATTACATGAGCCATCAAGTGCCCTTGACCCACTCACTACCCAATTGGGTGGGTAATTCACGGACTACCCTCTACATGAATCTGGGGGCAACCATTTCATTCATAGACATTGAAATAGACAAGATGAGCTTATTTTTATAATTTATCTCCGGCTTAATCTTTTCTTCTATGTGATCCTTGAGCGGAACTATCTTGCTTCCAATCGACCTACAATAAACAATAAACAATAAACATTTGTCTTTACTACAAAGCTTAAGGCAGAGGGATAGACTGCTTATGACCAGTGAACAGACCCTCAGGATCAATCTTCGCCTTGATCTTCTTAAGGCGCTCATAGTTAGCACCATAAAGACGTGAGCTCCACTCCTGCTCAGTAAGCTCAGTATCAGCATAGTTGACGAAGCCACGAAGCTTGGAGCCGCCCTTAACAAGAGCATCCTCGAATGGCTTCATCAGACCTCTCAGGTAAGGAATAGCGTCAGCAGGGAAGCTGAAGGGGTTGACGGAGTTTGCGTCCCAGCGAATCAGCCACAGGTTTCTCCCATGAGCATAACCTGTGTCGCTGTCTTTGATGTTGCGGGAGACACCGCCCCAGAGATCAAGATAGGCGAACTTTGTGAGGTCAGTTCGGTTGAAGGCCAGTGTTGTGCTCTCGAAGAGAATTTGTGCTTGTTCAAGGGTGAGAGGGTGGTCAGTCGTAGTGGTAAGAGACTGGGTGTAAAATGCTCGGCCACCGAGGAATCCACCGTCGGGCTGATTCATGCCAGCACCAGCAACAGCGACCTCAAGGTCCCACCAGGGAAGGACGGTCTTCTTGACCTCGACGTTGGAGTTGATGGTCTTGAGTTTGTTGACAAGAGGACGAATAACGTTGTCAAAGCTGTCGGGGTTACCGTAGAAGTATCCAGTGCCATCGTAAGGAGGAGCCATCAAGCTCCATCGAAAAGCAAACGTATCAGGGCACTCCTTGCTGGTAGCGTAGTCCTGAATGGCCACGAGAGCTCTGGCACCGTCTCTGGGGCTGAGGTTACCCATGGAGAGAGTGAAGTTGATAGCCTTGTTGAACTCAGGCTTGAAAGTCTTGGTAGTCATGGAGAGAATGATACCGTAGGAAGCTCCAGCGCCCTTAGCAGCCCAGAGGAGCTCAGAGCCCTTTCCGGGCTTGACAACGGTGCCGTTATACAGCATGTACTCAACCTCGACAATGTTATCCATGGGAGTACCAAGATAACGCGACGTGGTACCAAAACCGCCCCCGATGCTGGATCCAGTGACACCAACGTGGGCACCACGGACGTGAGGAACATGACGGCCAGCAGTGTCCCAAAGATACTTGGCAACTGGACCAACGTGGGTACCGCCACCGAATGTCATGAGGGTGGTCTTGGAGTCATACTTGACGTCGTCAAACGCAGCCATGTTGATGACCAAGTTCCCGGGCTTTCCGAAACCATTTCCTTGGAACGAGTGCGCAGGACCAAGGGCATTTGCGTTGACATCAGCGTCTCGCGCACACTCTAGCGCAAGGGCGACTTCATCCCGAGATTCGGGGAACGCAATTGCAGCAGGTTGGGGGCGGATACGCTTCTGAAACTGAGTAGTCTCCGCGGCCCATTGACTGTCAGACTCGATGACATTTCGCACGCCAGCCTTGTCGAGACACTTTGTCAACTCCTCAGCCTTGTTTTGAGCAAAAGCTAGGGAGAAGAGAGAGGCGAAGACAAAGCGTCGGAGAGAGCGTGGAGATGCCATGATTGTAGAGATAAAGATCAACGCTTGGGAAAAGAAGATCAATTCATATGGGCGGTTTATCATTGTATTTATGTCTTGCTGCCTGTTTTGCTTTGAGGTAACACACGGGATTAAGCTTCGGCCCTTTGTAGTAATTGGCTGCAGGGGAAAAACCAACAAACCCTGTCACAACTCACCTTGGCTTAACAGGCTAAAATGCAACGTTCCTACAGCACGGCTATCACTGTGATATAATCCTTCCAGGAGCAACTTCCATCCTATTAGGGAAAGGTCCCAATCACTAAACTTACGACAATGGTATCATACAAACGTTCCTTTCTCAAAGGGGAATATGCCTCAAGGGGCATGATCTTCTAAGCCACACTTTATCTGACTCAACTACCGGTATTAGATTCCTTCTAAACCTGCAGCATTTTATGGGGACTTGTCAGCATGTAGCTCCAGTCGGGGAGCCAGGTTCCGACGTTTCTAGATTTCGTTACCTTCTTTATCCAGGTCTTGTTCCGTTTTCTACGGATAAGAATCTTGTTGCTACCCTTTTCTGGCATTATGTTGCAGCAGATGTGGGCCTTTCTGTCTGGAGTAATTCAGCCTGTTGGGTAAAACGGAAATCCATCTTAGTTGGGTTGGCTTAATGGAGTATAAGAGGAATGCCATCGCGGTAAGGTCCCATGTGTTTCTGGTAAATATCGTCAGTGTAGGATGCTTAATAATAGGCTTAATTACGTGTTTCAGAAACTTTTCCGTGCTCACTACTGTACCAACCGCTCCCACGGGGCGAACCGAATGATGAGATATATATGCAGGGGTTGTATGTCACTGTTCTCAGGTCAGACCTCACCCTAACCTGTAGGATACCGCTTGCCAACCTCAAGGAGTGAACACGTAGATGTGAGAACTCTTGGATAAGAATGCAAATATTAATAAATTCCAAGTATTAATAATGAGAATGTAACTGAAACGAGCCAGATGAGCTCTCTACGATGGCTACAAAAGTCTATATCTACATCCCAAACAAAACAAAAAGTCTATCCCTCAAGCTTCTCTATCCAGGGACTGAGCCTGACACATATCCGCATACACACCTCCCTTGAACTGAAGTTCTTGATGCGTTCCCACCTCAACAACTTTTCCACCAACAAGCACAAAGATGACATCAGCGTTTCGAATAGTCGAAAGTCGATGAGCAACCGCAATCACACTGCATCCGCTTTCCTTTCTCGTCTGCTCAAGTGCTTCCTGGACGAGTTGCTCCGAGTGTGTATCCAGTGCCGAAGTTGCCTCATCGAGAAGAAGTAGCTTCGGTTTGCGGATAAGAGCACGGGCAATGGCGATTCGTTGACGTTGACCGCCTGAGAATGCTGTGCCTCGTGCACCGCATGGAGTGTTGAAGCCTTCTGGGAGGGAAGAGACAAAATCGAGAATATTGGCTTGTCGAGCAGCTTCGTTGAGCCGTTTGTCAGATGTGTCTTCAATGTCGCCATCAAGACCCATCAAGATGTTCTCTCGTACAGTTCCTTCGTAGAGGACAGGTTCCTGTTGAACTATGGACATCTCGTTGCGGAAGAGACGAGGAGAAACATCCTTAACGTCTTGCTCGCCAACGCAGATCTTGCCAGATGTAGGATCGTAGTATCGCTCAAGCAGAGATACCAGGGTTGACTTGCCGCATCCACTGGGACCGCAAACAGCAACAAATTGAGACGGGTTGATCTGGGAAAGATTAGTAGGTGAATGTGAGAGGGGTAAAGGGAAGGCTTACATCCATTGAAATCCCGTGAAGAACCTTAGTACTGCGACTATTATACTTAAAGTGAACGTTGTTAACACTGATGGGCTGGTCAAGATCCGGACCTCGGTCTTTGTTCTCATCGGTCTCTCGAATGACTGGTTGCTCCATCCGTAGGTTAAGGAGATAGTTTGCCGCACCCTTTGCTCTTGTGAGACTACCCAAGTTGGCAAAGAGTTGGGCACCAGCCTGACCAGCAAACAAAACACCCATGAAGATGAGGAAGAACTGTTCCGATGTGTATTCTCCAGAAGAGATGAGTCGCGAGCCGTACCAGAATCCAAGGGCCATAACCAGAAATTCAATGGATTGTGAGAATGCATATGCAATCATAGAGATTGAGAGAGATGCGACTGATTGGACGACGATACTTGAGAGAGTCTCAGAGTATGCCTGAATAAAATCCGATTCGGCAGTCAAAGAGGCAACGGTCCTCAAAGCGGAGACAGCCTCGCTAGCGAGACTGGCGCTTTCACGGAATCGCACCTCGTTGCTCTCATGAAGTCTAGACTCAAGCCGGATCTTGAAGTAGCCAGATCCCATAAGAAGAGGCAATCCTGCAAACACCATCACAAGAGCGAGCTTCCAGCCATATGCGAGTGCAAGAACTGAGCTGGCAGTTAGGTTGACTACCATGACGAGAATGACAAAAATGTTCAGTCCAAAAAGCTCTGTTAAGCTCGTAGGAACCGAGGACAAGGTCGAAGCTAATGCGCCAGATGAGTTCTCAGTTCGATCAAAGAAGTCAATGTCCATGACGACCATGCGGCTGAACAGCTCAAGGCGGTACTGGTGAGAGATGGATTGAGCAACGTGGTTGGCGATGTAGCCGATGGTGAAGTACGCAATAAGGTTTCCGAGAGCGATGACGAAGAACATGAGGGCATAGAAGTTGGCATCTGATTCGGAGGGTTGGCTAGAAGAGAAGGCGGTGATAAGCCGGGAGAACAGGACAGCTTGGCCCGGCCAGGTAGCTGCGGCGATACTGCAGGCGAGTCCAGCGACAATGATGTGAGGGAGCAGGGCCTTTTGTTCCTTTAGGATAAGGAAGATGCTCGTCAGAATAGAGCGGTCCTTTGGCTTAGCATCACCATCCTTGAGGACCATGGACTCCTCAGTTTGGGCCGTCATGACGCGTGCCACCTCCTCGTCTGTATCAACTTCGACCATACCCTGCTTTGCACTTATGTCCTTGTGAACTTCATTCACGGGAACTGCCAAGTTCTGCGCGCGAATGAGTCTGGCATAGTGAGCATTGAGCGCAAGCAGCTCGTCGTGGGTACCTTGCTCAACAACCTGGCCGGCTGAAACAACGACAATGTTGTCAGCGTCCTTGATGGTTGATAGGCGATGCGCAATGACGACTGTTGTTCGCTCTTGAGAAACTCGCGATAAAGCCTTTTGAACGATTCGCTCAGCGTTAGGATCGAGGGCACTCGTTGCTTCATCAAGGAGAAGGATCTTGGGATTAGAGACAACGCTGCGTGCAATGGCAACTCGCTGTTTCTGGCCACCACTGAGTGTACCGCCTCGCTCGCCGAGATATGTATCATAGCCCTAGAGGTTGTCAGGCATTAGGGATAGAATTGGAAGAAGGTGCTTACCTGTTCAAGCTTCTGAATGAACTCATGGGCGTAGCTGGCTTCACAGGCTTCCTGCACTAGTTTCCTCTGTTGATCCGGGCTGAGAGCCTTCTGTGCTTCAGTAAAACCCTTGGCCACATTCTCAAAGACGGTTCCCCTAAATAGAACTGGTTCCTACAACAGTGTTAGATCGACTTCAACTGAGAATGGAGAGAAATTGCCCTACCTGTTGAACAAGAGCCATTTGAGACCGTAGCCACTTCACATTGAGCATGGACACATCCACGCCGTCAAGTAGGAAGCGGCCAGAAGTTGGCAGATACCATCTTTCCAGTAAGCCAATTATAGTGCTCTTTCCAGAACCGCTGGCCCCGACAATCGCGGTCGTTTTGCCTGCTGGGATGTTCAGGCTGATGTTGTTGAGAACCTGTGTGTCGGGTCGTGAGGGATAGGAGAACGAGACGTTCTCGGCCTCGAGGTGGCCGTGGCAGCTTTCGGGGACTTTGCCTTCGTTACCGAGAGGATCTAGTGAAGATGGTTTGTCGAAGATCTTGAAGAGCTCGGAAGCGGCTGCAGCACCGTTGGCCAAGGCGGGAACCTGTGGATATAGGAGACCGATCGATGATGATGCCAATAAGACAGATAGTACAACTCTAGGAGTTAATGGTCAGTTATTTCTGATTTTGCAAGTCAAGAGTGGGATCATTACGTGAATACAGTACCAACAGAGTCAATCTCACCACTCTGGTACATGCGGAACCCCTGCCAGAAGGCCAAAGCATTTCCAGCGTACATGCAGAAGTAAGTTGATGAGCTCATCACACCATACATGAAAGACTTCTTCTTTCCGTACACGTGGGCTTCTTTGAGATAGCCGTCATATCGCACTGTCATTCTGCCCTGTGCCCAGAAGGCATGGACAGTTCGGATGGAAGCCATGACCTCCTGGGCGAAGACATTGGCCTGGGAGTAAGTGCCTTGGACCCTTGCTTCGATGGGCGCGTCAAGAGCCATTCCAACGCCAATGATGACAAAGAAAAGGGGAACGACAGTCAGGGTGATCAGGGCCAGCTTCCATTGAACTGCGATGGCGACGACAAAGGATGAGATAAACATGGCGAGCCCTTGGACCAGAAGTGACAGTTTCTCGGCGATACCTTGGTTGATGCGTGTGACGTTGGTAGTCATCTGAGTCGCAGGTGATCCAACATTAGCCGTATCAAAGTACCAAATCTCGGTTCGAAGAAGATGTTCCAGGAAACGCTGTCGAAGGACTCGTGTTGTTCGGATCCCGGAAATCGAGATAGTTATCGTGCCGATGTAGCTGAGGACAAATTTGCCAACAAAGAGGTAGACAAACCATAGGACAAACGTGTTGACCTCGTCCTGAAAGCCTTCAGGATCAATCTTGCCACTCGCATAGTCGCTAAATCGGCCGGTGAATTGTCCAAAAACGATAGTCATCAAGGGGAGTGTTGCTCCTGAAGCAATAGAGCAAATAAGGGATGTGAAGTTGAGGATCCAGTCAAGGCGGTCGGCGAATCGAAATACGCGCTATAATGTGTGAGTTATGAACATTCAGTCCAGTAGAATATTCCTACCCATAGATCTCCAAGTTCAGCCGGCTTTTCAGCCTCGTCCTTTTGTGTTGTTGTAGTCGAATCCTCGACAAGGATCTTCTTCTCGTTCTCGGCGTCCATGTTGGAGGTTAGTGGAGAACCTATTAATAAAGTGATGAAGAGAAGAAGAAGAGAAAGTAAGAACGAAGGCTAGAAGCCTAAAGGAACGCTCAAGTGAAAGAACTTTGTAGTTGAGATTGTTTGATGTCGAGCTAAAACGGTGGCGTTGTGGAATACTTATTTCCTTCCTCCGTTGACATGTCTGAGCTCACATACTCACGCAAGCGGGTCATACAGAATGGCTCATGCTGACTGCATTCCCATAATTTCCCTGCCAAGACAGTCAATCCCCATCCCTGAATACGCTGCCTGTTCGATCACTTATTTGGACGGACCCGCGGGAGACATGGACAGCCAATCGATATGATCTGCACTAACAAAATTAGGGGCATCTTGTAGGGCTCGGGGCCACGGGCCCGCGCCTCCGAGGTAGCGAGGTGTCAGCATTCCCTCTCCTCCGTGAGCCCGTTCTCCCGCAACACAAGCTTTTACCTCACATTGCATTAATTTTCGCTTAGTGGAAGGAACTTGGTTTATTTCGGGTATGTCAGGAGAGGAGACTATTCTGGCTAGGCGAGCTAGGCTCTCCCAGGTCCCACGAGCGGTACGTACTGCTTAGACAAAGCCCCCCCTCTTATCCCCAATCTGTCTCAAGACTCTAACAAGGCAAAAGTGTGAAGCATGCAAAGTCCGCAAGGTGATTACTATACCTACTCAAACTGGTCTCTTCAATGCTGATTGTTCTAGATTCGCTGTGACAGATCCCATCCTTGTGGTAATTGTAAAGCTGCGGGTATTACCTGTCAACAAGCCCATTCTGTTCAGTCAGATGCACGTCCAAAGCCAGACAATCGAATAAGTCAATTGTAAGCCCGTTTGCTCCCTCTTCGTTTAAACTTACTCATAATTCGGAAAAGAGAAGAATATGTGGCAACTCTTGAGGCTAGACTGGCCAAGGTTGAGTTGCGCCTAGACAAACAACCCGAACAGCCATTGATTTCCACGCCTGCTTCAGCATCCGCGCCCGCGGGCCCGAAAGAGACCTCATCTGTTTCTCCGGCTGGTTCTTCGGATCCTAGTGTGTACGATGTAGCCCCATCTCCGGGTGGTGCCCTGTACGAGGGAACATCATCGTTTCTTCAGCAATCTGTCCAGGCTAGCCAAGAGGTTCAACGTTCTGCAGCTACGGAGAGTCCTGAAGCAGCACAGACAATCAGCGAATCATTCAACCAGTTAAATTCCATCTTCCAAAATCAGAATGATAAGAAGCTGCCCTTGGCTGCTTCGACTCGCTCCATGCCAGAGATTACACCTCTACCAGCCTCATTTGTCCTTACTATTCTACGCAAGATCAAAGGTAGTAGCCATTATATGTTGAGAGATGACTTCATATTAACCCTCTTCATAGCTCAACCAACTAGATTCTTACCTGGCCAAGCCCTTACTGACGTACGTCTAATTGAGCATCTATGTCAAAGGGTCTACTTCCCAACGGAACCAGTGACCCTTGGACATATCACAAGCGTCAATGGCATCATGCGACTTATCCTCCGTGAGTTTATCATCACAAAGGATAGCCTCGCTGAAGAGCATAATCTGGAGGAACTAAAAGCGCAGGCTGAGCGAAACTTTGACCGAGGTCTCCAAACCTTTGAACTTATGACGGTGCCCAGTTTTGAGAATATTCTGGCTATCACAGCCGCGGTCAGTTATACTCAGACTTCTTTTGAAGCCAGGCTTTTAATCAAACCTTTTATTCACTTTAGGTTCTCAAGATTCAAAACGAAGCCGCTCCTGTCCTGGCTCGTTCCTTAGTCAACGCAGGCCTCAGTCACTGTCAGATGATGGGCTACCATCGAGAGGTAACCTATCAGAAAGACCAAAGTGGCTTCGCTGACAACAAACGTCGACTCTTCTGGACTCTTTATGTTTTTGATAAAACAAACTCTCTCCATTTCGGCAATGCCTCGAGAGTCCAGGACTTCGAAGTTGATGCGCATTATCCTACTATACCGGACGACCCAGCCGAGAAGCCCTGGACTGAACTGTTTCAACTGGCCATTAGGCTGGCCAAGATTCAAGGTTTGATATTTGATAAGCTTTATTCTGTTACCGGTCTGCAATCCCCTGCTGTAGACCGAAGACAATGGATCGATGCTTTGGTTGCTGACATGCACCAATGGCGATATGAATTGGATCATGTAGGCTTCTATTTCGGTCTTATTCAAATCTTTTCTGATCACTGAACTGACACTTACGCAGATGGATGGAAGCACAGTGCGCTTTGTGGAAATTCTTAAGCTTTCAATGACCCATTGGGACATCATGTACTACTCAACTCTAACCATTCTGTTACGAGCTCCAGCAATGCCAGGAGTAGGTACAGACATGACATCCCAATGCTTTCACGCCGCGAGACTCTCTTTGCAAAGTCATCTTCGCGCGTTCTCGGGCTACGGTGGCGACAAGATGCTCTCGAAAGCAGACTACATCGACTGGTAAGCCGGCCCTAGCCTGTTCAGACCTGTCAGCTTACACTAGCAGGGCTCTTCACAACGCGTCATTCACACCTTTCGTCGTCATATTCCTGCACTCGATAGCAGCATCTAGTCTTGAAGACGTAGAACTTCTCGAGCAAGTAGTCACCACGTTCCGGAGCGCCCGAGACATCAACATTGGTGCTGAGAAGCTCTATCAAATCTGCTCTACCTTCGCACGACTCGCTCGTCGCATGGTGGAATCTCGAAATACATCAGTGGGCATGTATGATCAGCGTAATGATACACTCCAGGTGGCTGGCGTGTCGGAGAATGTCCCATTGACTTGGACTGAGGTGACTGGTCAGCCTTCGGAACAACAGGCTGGAACTGATGGTTTTGCGGACTTTCTCAATGACGACATGACCAACATATTGGCTGATTGGATCAATGGACAACCCCCTGCATCTGATATGTTTGCTATGGACTTTGGGGAGTGATCTTATTAATAGCTTCATTATGTACATGAGATCGGAGTTTTTGACACCACTTGAAACATAAACGAAATTACATATTTCGTCTTTGGAACGCGTAACTGGTGGAGAGTTTCCATAAAATCAGGCAGCTGATGAACATGTGCGGCTTCTCTAAGGCAACTATATTTGGCAAGACTTTTGATGTCCCAGATTGAATATTACTGTTGCCTCAAATTCGTGGCCGTGGCAAATCCCTCATATTGCTTCCTAGCCTCAAGGCTACTATGATAACATCGGGATGCGATCCGCTCTTTCATAGCGAATAGTACAGAAACTGGATCCAAATTGATGAGCAGTGAATTACATGTCTGCCTGACTAGGCAGAGACCCTTAGACAATTGAATGTTTCTCCGAGAATGCAGATACGAAACTCTGGTTTCTAGTGGGAGTAGAAAACCTTTCGACTATTTAATGAATGTGATATTCGCTGATATGTGTTTGCTACTGGAAATTCAATCTACTTGACACTTCACATCTCTTCAGTTCTTCTTGATCACGTTGTTTTCTTCGTTCTGTCTGTGATTAATCTTGCAATACCTACAAAATGGCGGTAAGTTTACTTATACCTTGCAGCTCATTAACGTTACTGTAACTTATTCTTTGTGTGAAGTCTGCTTCTGGGTAAGTCCTCTAATTTGATCCATCCTACGATCTACGGCTAATCTTGATACACAGCGTTTTGATTGACCAAGACTGCATCACCGCAGCCAATGACCTTCGATTTGCAAAGGGATCGAGCAAGATCAAGTTCGTTATCTTCAAGATAACCGACGACGAGCAGAGCGTTGTTGTTGAAGAGACGTCTCCTGATACCGAATATGAGACTTTCCGCCGGAAACTTCTCTCGGCGGTTGACAAGTCTGGAAAGTCAGCTCCGCGCTATGCTCTCTACGATGTTGATTATGATCTTGGAGAAGATGGGAAAAGGTGAGCTCTACTGTTTTCATACTGAAAGTTACTGACAAAAGGTGACAGAACCAAGACGATCTTTATATCTTGGGTCCCACAGAACTCACCTATCAAGGTATGGCTATCACATGCTAACTTGGCTCAAATTACTAACTGAGAAATTAGCTCCGCATGCTCTATGCTAGTACGATGGAATATTTGAAGAAAGCAGTCAATATGAGTGTTTTTATCCATGCTGATGATCAAGAGGATATTGAGTGGGAGGAGTTGGTCAAGACTGCAAGTGGTGGCAAAGCAAAATGAGGCCAATATTCAGGTCTCCAAGTTATGGTTATTAGTGTTTTCCAAGTAATTTAAATGCCTCTAAAATTCATCTTCCTTTTCATCTTCGTTCTAGACAAGGATCTGAAACAATCAAGCTTTTTTTCAAGGCTGATCTTGATCTCGATCTTCTGATTGCACTAACAGCCAAAACGTGGCCAATCGCCAGTGCTAGTGCTGCACCATGCCATAAAATGACGTTAACGCCAACACAACGTCAACGCCTTTCATCTCCCCACAACAGGATTGGATTGGCTCTTTTATACCATACACACTCGCCACGCGTACTTCCATCCAGTGTGGCTGGAAAACCTGGAACCCCATCATCTTTGTCCTACAACCGACAACGTCATCATTTGTTTGAGGTGCTGTAAACTTTATTTATTTGTCTGTATTATTACTCCGAACCCCAGGGTTTCTGCTTCTGGACGGAATCATCGATAATTTACATCGATAATTTACATCGAATTGTCAAGATGCCGCGTACTCTATTGCTTTGTTTCATCCACGGATTCAAGGTATGATACTCACATATTTTAAGCTATTAGCTACTAACGTTTTTAGGGTACCGATAATACCTTTCATGAATTTCCCTATGTGAGTGACCCACGCTAAATGCGACAAGTCTCCATAGCTCAAACTTATACCGTCAAAGGACCTCAAGAAAGCAGTCGCCAGAGAACTCCCAGACGAAAAGGTTGAATCCGTCGTATATCCCAAGTATGAGACTACTGGTGAATTGGCTCAAGCCGCAGAAGGCTTTCTAGAGTGGTAGGTCGACTCAAATAAATCAAAAACATCCAGAATGCTAACCTTTAGCACAGGCTCAAGGAGCGGGTGATGGACATCCGAAAGAAGAAATCAGAAAAGCCATGGCCTCCTCATGACAGAGATGTAGGAGTTATTCTCGTTGCTCACTCGATGGGGTATGTTGATGAGACTCACCCAAATACACCGTCTAACATTCTACCAGGGGCTTCGTTGCAGCAGATACTCTGTTCCTAGCCATCAACGACAGAGCTAACAATGGAGACGAGAATGACCCCTTATTTCCACTAATCCAAGGCATCCTCACATTCGACACTCCTTACAATGGCCTTGCCCGCTCCATGTTCGTATATGGCGCCTTCTCCAACTATCAAAAAGTCAACAGCGTCTTCAATGTCATGACTGCTATATCTGCCGCTGCACCCGCCAGTCTTGCAAGGCTCAGCGCCCGACGGGCTGCAACCACTGCTGTTACAGGCAGCACACGGGGACCTCAATGGAAGACATGGCAGCTTGTAGCTGTTAAAACGGGCACAGTAGGGGCCATCGCAGCTGGTGGTGTAGCAGCGTACATGAACCGAGAGGCCATCATTCAGGGGATGAAAAGCATGAAGAACATAAACAAGGAGTCTGTTGCCGAAAGCTACCGCCAGGGTATGGATGCCCTTGGACAAGGCCTGGCTTATATCAACCGCGGAAATGTCGGAAAGTCTTTTGCCTGGCTCTCGGATCATGTCACGTTTGTCGGTGCACTGCTACGACAAAAGGAGCTCAACCGTCGACTTGAACGCATCGGCTCACTCAAGGGTGTTGGCATGCATGACTTTTACTGCTCTCTTGGTGAGAATGGCTACTGGAGCGGAGGCTATTTCGTCCCTGAGCGGACATTCTGTGCTGTTCCTGAGGAGAGTCACTCAGCTTATCCTATCTTCGACAGATGCGTCATGCCCAAAGCTGAAGATGAGATTGAAGCGCATCTCAACATGTTCAGGCCTGAGAGACATCGAGGCTACGAGGAGATGACGGACAAGTCAGCTGAGCTCATCAAAGAGTGGTTCCAGAGCGAGGAGAACGTTTTCGATGATCCGAAATTCCGCGAGACACCTCCTGAAGAAACTGAAGAGACCGAGACTACCAAGGAGATTCTTGAAAAGGATCCCGGCCAAACTGAAGGAGATGAGAAGGCTGAGGGCGCAAATGACAAAGATAGTGAAAATGATACTGGACTTCCGGACGAGTCACCCCTGGATATCGCTAACGCTGCCTCCCTCGTACCCCTCCCTAACGACAAGGGTGAGGGTATCGTTGGCGATGCAGATATCGAGAGCGCTGATACAGTTGAGAAGCGAACCTACCTCAATTACCTCTTCGGCGTGGCTCAGCAAACCGGTGCTGACGCCAAAGGTTGGCTCCCCAACAAGATTCCGCAAATGCCAAATCTTCCCAGCATGCCAAGCATGCCCAGTATGCCCAAGGTGCCTAGCTCCGTGTCTTCACTGGGTAATGTTTCCATGCCCAGTGTGAGGATCTGGGGAAAGAAGGATGGTGATTCTCAGGGAGAAAAGGAGACTCAAGAGAGTGTAAAGCAGGAAGCTGAAGAGAAGGGTGGCGAAGGCGAGAAGAAGGATATCACAGAAGAGAAGAAGGACACATCAAGTCAAGAGGGGAGCAAGGAAGAACCTAAGGAAAAGGTTGAGGAGAGCACACAGGCCCCTCAAAAGGACGATGCTGACGCTGAAAAGTGTTCGGGTTAGGTGGAAAGTCTATGAGGATGGAAACATGATTTTGTTCGCCTGCTTGCTGCTTACTGTTTCAAGATTAATGATCCTTGCCTTCCTATAAATTCAAGAGATATCACTTTCTCTGCTTTTGAATAATAATCCTAAACTAAGCTTAAATATATTAAGTCTAATTGTCCTGAATATGTATATTTCCTAGTAGTATGAGACATGCTGCATACTATGTAAAAGTATAACAGGACTAGTTATAAACTTAAAAAGTTAGCTATAAGCGGCGAGAAAGGAGTAAGAAAAAGAGTCGAAAGAACAGCTACAATGGCATAACTTGTTCAATGAATAGTTAGGATATAATTATGATGTCCTTATGATCTAGAGTCTTACGGTTCATAGTAATGCCGGGTCCGTGTTTCTGACGTGTCTTGCTGCTGTGTAACCTATATTGCACCCTTATCTCATTAACTATGGTATAGTCATAAGGCTGAGGGGGGCAATAAAAAGCTCTAACCCCAACACAAAGGCAAAGAACACATATTATCTAGCGCGTCTGTTCCCTTCAACCACTCGCTTTAAGCGTGGCATCTCCTACAACCATAATCTTGACGGTTCATTTCAAAAATACTTCGCTATGGGTAAGACATTTCGTCTCTTACCTGCTCCTGTCAAAACAGGGGAATCCCAAGCCGCTGTGCCCCAACGAGAAATAGTTGTGCGAAAGCGCAAACAGCCCGTGTCTTCAGCCTGTGAAGAATGTCGCAAACGGAAGTCAAAGGTACACTTGTCTTTGTTAAAGCGAGAGCTCGGCTGATATGTGCAGTGCACTGTTCCGTGGCCTTGTTCACCATGTCAGCGTCGCAACACTGATTGTTACTTGAATCCGACGGCCGATTTGAAGGTGCATCATCGGGCACTGCAACGTAAATACTCCGAGGTTCAAGCTGGTAACAGTCGCTTCCAAACCATTTATTCGATGTTGCGAGAGAAGCCCGAGGATGTAGCACTCTCTATCTTGAGGCAGATTCGGACAGGAGCGGACCCTGATGCTATCTTCAGCTTGGTGGAGGATGGGGATCTACTGATGCAGCTGCACCTAGCCCCTTCGTCTCAATTCCGCTACACATTCCCATACCGGAGTGCGATGCCTGGCGTCCTAGTCGAAACGAAGAGTACATATATGGAAGCATTGGTTCTCGAGGCGCCATATCCTGGACAGGAGCCTCCAGAACCGTTTGGGTCCCAATCAATTTCGGATTTAGAGGCCCCATATTATATGCCATACCACTCTGCGAACCTAGTTGAACCAATGCTAGATCGCGCTACGATCTCTGCCTGGACGACAGTGTGCACAGATGAGTCTTTGCTACACAGTCTCATGGAAGCTTACTTCCTGCATATATTTACCGCGTTCCCCCTCTTTCACAAAGAATGTTTCCTCCGAGATTTGACTTCTGGATCTCAACGTTTCTGCTCCAGCCTACTTGTTAATGCTGTCTTAGCTCATGCTTGCCACGCTACGCCCAAGGTTGCGCACCGCAATGAGCATTGGAACCCACGAAATATTGGCTATATATTCCTCGCCGAGGTCCGGCGCTTATTGGAACTTGAAGCTGATCGATCAAGAATCACAACAGTTCAGGCGATGCTCGTGATGAACATTACCATGAACGAGCAGGGTGTTGACGGCGCCTCATATCAGTATTTGACTAAGGCCGTAGCTCTCGCACAGCGCATGGGTCTGTTCAACTCGCCCAGGGAAAACATGGAGCAATATGCGGACTCAGATATTAACGTCGTTCGTGAAGTGACAGCCTGGGCTCTTTTCGCTTGGCAAGGGTAGTTTTCCTACGTTCCCCCTTTCCGTCTGAAGCTGAGATCAAAAACAGAATCATGTCCTCCATGTTTTATGACCCGCCTCTGATCACAGAGCCACCTCAGACGTCCTGTCCGGACCCCGCCCAATTCCCATTCTGGTATGGCGATCTCTGGATTCGATACCCCTCATGTCAAGTATCCATATCAACCAAATATCACCAAACTTTCAAGGCTTACTTGGGGTTTTGGACCATATTCAACGATATCGCACTCGTTTCGTTTCCGCCTGGACGGAACCCGTCACTTTCCCTCAGTCAGGCAGCTGAGTTCTATGCTCGATTACAGTCCTGGTTCGAGGATCTACCAGATGACTTGCAGCCAGGGAGAATAGTTCTACCTTTTCAACTGAAGCTACAGTACGTAATTAACCTTTGTTCAAGTTGTTTTCTAATTGCTGCAGTATTCAATATTGGTCTCTTCTGATGGATCTCTTCAAGCCATTTGCAGACTTGGATGAGCACACAGAAGCACTGGATATGACGTCCTCAGAGATATATCGAGATGCTCGGTTAAAACAAGATCTCGTGCTACGAATTTATTACCTGCGGCATGGGACGGAAACTCACGACTGTTGGCTCTTTATGTTCCTCCTCAAGCTTAGTTTTATCGCGCTAGAAGAAGTGGCATCTTCTCCAGGCCATCAAGTCTCGCTTTCAACTTTGATTTTGGCACTAGAGAGCCTCGACAACCAAGGTAAATGTTATTTTATGGCAGAGTTCGCGCTACGAACGATCTGTGCAAAGATGCGTTCTCAGGACCTGGTGACCCTCAAGCAATTCACAACCTTTCAGGATCTTGATGACCCTCAGATCATAGCAAGGCTCATGAGCCTCATTAAGTCAAACTGGCCTGTAAACATGGATTTTGCAAAACAAGAACGAAAGAACCTCCGCGATGTAGCTGCTGAGATCATAGGGATGGGCACGGCAGACGATGAGTAGCACTATACTAGCTTGAGTTGATAGCGATAGTGAGAGTGAGAGTGGGGAATACAGAAAAGGTTGACCAGGATTGGCGAGGACTACAGCGCAGGATAGTTCTCTGGTATCACTTTGTCAATAGGGAGTAGTTCGGTATATAAACAAAGAGCTGTTTGAATTTCTCTTGCCAGGTATCAGCTCAATCCCAACAGTCTTGCGAATCCTTCAAATTACACTCTGTTGCTAGTGCTCTCTGTCTGCGATATAGGAGCATTGACGTTCGAGGTTCGGGGCTTCTCCTTGTCGAATGTGTTCGGAAAGGCCAGTAAAATTTCAAATCACTAAATATATTCGTCTTTTAGCGAGAGATCCATTGTCCAACAGATTTAGTCAGACAGGACTCTATGAGGGAAAGTTTAAGTCTAACTTGAAAGTCCCCAGAACTGTCTCGACAAGACATGCTTTAACTGACAGACGCCCACCTTCCAATTCTTTATCATATAACAATCTTCCCCTTCCCGCGACTAACACAACTCAGCATAGATCCCTTCTTCTGCTCTTCGTCTAGAGCCACGCCCTTATGGTCAACCTCTCCCTTGTAATAGTCCACCATGCATGTGCCACAGTTCCCTACCAGACACGACGACTCGATCTCAAACCCAGCATCGGAGAGAACCTGAAGAAGAGACTTCTCTCGAGGTACCTGGACTCTTTGACCAGTTGACTTGATTTCTACCTCGAATGGCTCCCCAGTTCCTGTTGTGGCGTCGCCGAACTCTTCGAAGTGGACGTTGGCCTTTGGATATCCAAGATTGGTGGTCAGGTTACGACAAGCGTTCATGAGGGATGTTGGACCGCAACAATAAACCATAGGCACGTCTTTCTTGTCATTTGTAAGCTCAGGGATAACTTGACCCAGCATGAGTCGTTGGCCATCGCCTTTTGCATAAATGGTTGTCTTGTCGAGTGGTAGGCGACTCAAATAGGCTGCATCCTTAAGGCTTCGTACAGCATAATGAATCTCAACTTCAGCTGACTCCCGAGATAGTCTTTTGATCTCACCAAGAAAGGCTGTAACTCCGATACCACCGATGATGAAGATGTGCTTGGATGCATTCGAGTCCACCCCTCCGTTCTGCGATGCAAAAGCGTTGTGCCCTGGGGCGACTTTGATGACATTTCCAACAGTGAGATCGTCATGGAGGTATATAGATCCACCTCTTGAGTTATCATCCCGAGCGATGCCAAGTTCGAAGCGGCTCGTGGTTCCGGACACGACAGAGTAGGCACGAGAGATGCTTCCATCAGGGCCAAACTGGATCCGCACGAATGGAAATTGACCAAACTTCAAATCTTCGCTTTGGTCCTCAGATTCAAAGATAAAGGATTTGATCCTTGGGGTCAGGTCCGTCTTACTGGCCAGCTTGTAAGGTCTCCAGACGACAGGGACTCGATCACCTTCAAGACGGCCACTCATATCCTCAGTGCCGTGATCAAGTCGACCCTGAAATATTCCCACCATCTCTTCAGATAGGGCAGGTAATGTTACCAGTTCCTGAAAGATCTCAATATTGTCCTTTTCATGGTAAAGGTACTTCTGAACTCGCGAGAGAGACCATGTTGGGTTAGTGCGTTCAACGAGCTCCAAAGCATCGCCTTGCTCGATGAATCCAGTTTGAAGAACGCGATAATACCATCCGGTTCGGCCACTAGACTGCGTCATCGCCGAGATCTTCTTGTGCTGAAAGCGATGGTTGAGCTTATAGCACGGCTGTCTCGGTCCAGAAACCTGAATGAGCACCTCCCGTCCTACACGAAATATGTCTCCAATACAGACATTGGTCTCAGACATGTTCATTGTAGACAGGTTCTCTCCAAAGCCACCAACCTTGAAGAGGCCCTCTCGACCAGGCAACTCAGCGTTCCAGGCATCGTAGTGAGTAGCACAATACTGATGGAGAGCCTTTTCAGGGCCACCATGGTGAATGAATTGCTGCTCATCGCCGACGAGTCCAAGAGGGGTCACTTCCCATTTTCCTTGCCGCGCTCGTTTGTTAATGGCGGTGCGGATGTTTACACCGCCGAGCGGGCGGATTTTGCCTGTTCGCAAGCTGAGAAGGGTATCTGTGGGAGGAAGAGGGGCTAGACCTACAGCGGAGCTTTCGATGGCGAGAGACATTTTGGTGTTATTTGTTTCTGCCTTGTTCCAAGTGCGATATTTGATAGAGGTTGGAAGAATTGAGTCAACTTGGTTGAGGTATTTGAGAAAATGTTGTGTGAAGGATCACCAGCAGACATCCACTTAACCTGATCAAGCAAGTCCCTCAAAAGTTCCTCTATCTTATCGCTCATAGTGCACGACTACCTTTCCCATTGCGAGTCAGCAATACCACTGTAGCATTCACTATTTGTGCCACGTTCCAACTGAGACCTACCTGATCTTCAGGGCAGCGGCATAAACACATCACATTTATTCCTTTCTTGATCAATCAGGAAGACACCCGCGCCTCTCCAATATCTTTCGTTTTTAACTAGGCTCATCTACCAATCATATTGTTCGAGAGTAGAAAGCTAAACCAATATGGGCCTCATTCGATCACGATCCTTTCAGATTCCCTCCCAATGCCAAACATTCTCGACATCTCTTGTCTTCCCTCTAATACTCGTCTAGCTTCTCCACGAAGTTCCGCAGACTCAGCCAGTACTGAAAACAAGCTCGTACAGTTCATCCACCTCTGATCCATGATCGCAATCGCTTCTTCCTCATCTCGATAACCTCCCAGCCACGACTCCGATAACTGAGAAATCTCAACAAACGCCATCGGGATCAAAAACATTGTCTCTTTCTTAGCGCATGTGGGGAATAGTTTACTGAAAGTGTTGAAGAGGAACTCGTGCGCTTTCTTCAATGTTCGAAGCTTTGCCTCTGCTAACGAGCGCTGGGCATCGGCGTCGCCCTTCCAACCTTGGGCGCAAAAGCGTGTTGAAAAACGACCAAGAGTCCTCTGCCAGTGCTTTATTTCCTGAGTCGTCTTTGAAATGTCCAGTTCTTCCATCAGCTTCTCAACAGCATCCAAGGCTTCCGAGCTCCAAAAGTTCATGAGCTCCGCGAGCTCTGACAGCAAATTGTCCACTAGTACCGATTGCCGATTTGTCTTCCAGCCAGGGCTTGATTCCAGTTCAAGCCTCCACTCTTGTCTTTCTCCTGAAAAGGTTGAGACCTCCTGAGTACCAGTGAGAACTGAATGTCTGATGAAGAAGTTCCAGGCACGAATTTCTTCGTCTTTCAAGGAAGAGCAATCAGCTTCATTGACGTCAGATGGTTGGCTTCTCAACTTGAGCATGCGCCTCCAGTGATAGAGAAATTTGATAATCTCCAGAGTCAGGGGATACGACACTTCCAGGGTGCAGACTTTGTCAAAATCAGGATGGTTACTGTAAAGATGATCCTTGCTCATCGAATAGATGATAGCCGAGGCACATGGATAAAGAAGTTCGTATGTGACGGTATCTCCATCCTGTATATGCTTATTGGCAAGAAAAGGCATTCTGCAGCCGGATATCTTGACCAAAGCAAGGAGGTCACTCAACCCCAGTATACGTTCTGGTTGGGCTCGGAACTTTGACATGGGCCCGCTGATGGCAAGGAAAACGGAGTTGTTGAGCATATGATAATTTGTCTCACGAAACAAGCCGTCAACTGTGGCATTTTCATCACCAGACATGAAGCTGGTGTAATATAAAACGGCGACCTCATACCCGGATGTGATGAGACAGCCTGTCTCAGCATCTACAGCCTTGAAGCTTTGCGTCGTCGGGCTCATATTTCCTGCTATGTCATAGTTGGTTAGGAATGGGACGGTTCTGAATAGATGAGAGGGAGGGTTCCCCGTCAGTGACGAGAGAATAGGATCCCGATGCCAACGCAATTTCCAGCCAAGCTCTATCTCGCCCAATCGCTCCGATAGGTCGACTGAGTTGTAGGCAGTCTCTTGCAAATCCCACATTGGAACCCAACTGGGGATGCCGTACATAGAACGAAGTTTGAGGTTTGTCATAGACTCGGCAAGTTCAATGATGTTGTGCCGCTTTCTTTGCTGGATGAGGTACAGGGCAGTCCCAATGTATACTTCTCGTACCATCAGCTTGTAATTTGCTTTCAATACTTCGGCTTCCTTGCCATCAGCCAACCCAACGAGGCCGAATATTTTATCTCTGATATCGCTCATCTTGCAGAGAGCGGTTGCGGAGAGGAGTTCCAGCATATCGCCCTTTGAATGTGATCCGATCCATCCTATTTGCGTTAGCCACCAAGGGACTTCGGCCTTGCGTGACTTTGCTTTGATAAACATGTCCCCAGATACTGGTGTAGTCGAATCGCCACAGTGAAGGATGATGGAACGGGCCAGTAAGACTTCTTGTACCACCCACAGGCGAGAAAAGAATGGCCGTTTGAAGAATCTTCCAAAAGCATCCTCGGCATTGTCGTTAAACTGTCTCGAAGGCTGTTTGGAGGACTTGAATTCACCTTTGAGGAGGGTCATTGCCCCAACCTCTCCGCCTTCGATGCTGTCAGGGTCTTCGCCCACATATCCATGTACCTCCGTTGCTTGTGAGAAGATAGTGCCCATCATGGCAACCTGGTCAGACCTCTCACTAAGATCAGATTGATTGATACAAATAGAATCCACCCATATCAGCAAAGACTCAGTCTCGCGACGTAGACGGCTCAGTGCTTGATGACAATTGAGCGTGATGGGCAGAGCTCTATTGCCAAGGCCGATAAATATGCGCTGACACAGGGAAGCATCATTGTTACCATCTGCCCATGTATATGATAAAGCTTGGTAGGCTGGCGTTTGCTCTACGTCGACTACCTGGAATCGGCCTTCGAGGGCCTTTTCTCGAGGCCCAGGTAAGAGCTCCAGAAGCCGGATTTGCGAGCGTTCTGTAAACTTGGGGTAAATTACAGGGAGTATCTGATTTAACCGGTGAGATTTCAGTACTTGCTGTAGGTGTCAGAGCTCACCTCTCGGCCGTAAGCATCGCTCACTTCTCCCACTCGGTAAGTTACGCCTGTGGCTACTCTTGGGTAATTGACTTTCACGAGGCACAAAGCCTTTTCAATATCTTGACTGAATGATTCTTGAGAATATTCGACACATGCTGGCCACGACAAACGTTTTATGGGCTCTTTGTGCACGTCATCGTTACTCGCAAGCTCCGGGGTCGCACATTTGCCAATTGAGTCAGCAAAGAATCTGAGAGGACCAACTGTTCCACAGGCTTGGCACGTCCAGAGGTCATTGTCAAATGGAACAGGATCCATTCGACGACACTCGGTGTCATGCCATTCCATTTTGGTAGGTCTTGATAATGATATGCCAATTTTCAAGGGTTTGATATGATTGTTTTCAAGCGGGGTTCAGAGGTTTTATGCTGGAATGAGGCTGTGTCACAAGGCAGACAGACAGCAGGATGCCTCTACAGGTAAAGCATTGGCTTCTTCTCGCTGCGGTGCTTCAATGATCTGCATCATTTGCTTCAAGGTGCCTTCTTTTGCGTTTTTCTTGAAGTGCCAAGTACCTAATCAATTTCCAGTTACCTATGCTAATACAGTCCTCCGCTATCCCAGTAACCAGCAAGTCCATACGTATGACAATCATATCATTAACCTATCATCCTCCGATCCCAATACAAACACCATTTCGCCCATCTCTTCACGTAGGAATCCATCACTTCTCAAAGACCTGAGCAGCCTTCTTGTTGTTCCGTCTGATGCAGTCCCGCTCCTCCTTCGCAACACAAGTCTGGCAAATAACGGCATCGACATATGAAGTGAAGGCCACGCCGAAGCATCTCCCGACGTAGCAGTTCATCTTTGGGCCGCCGAACGACTGCGGAGATCTCAAACCGCAGTCCTCAATCGGGTCTAGAATGGCAGTTGTGTAGCCACATCGGCTGCACTCTTCCACGTTTTCTGTCTGTGTGCACATGTTGAATTTTTCAGTAATGACTGGGTTGATTTGATAGTGGTTTCTGAGAGTGTGCAGTTGCTTAGTAGAGATTTTTCTCCAGGGAGAGGTAGATAATTGAAAAGTGTCCAGATCAAGCATGGGGACTGGACTGTTGGACCCGGACCCCGAATATATAACTCCAAGTCAGCTGGTTCGCAACATGATCAATGCGAGCGGGATCGGGATTCCTGCCTAGACGAGGCAGACGGACTTGAAAGTGAGGCGGTGTGATTTGTTCATTTTGATTACACTTGTTACACAAGCAATTTTCTCTTCTCAAAAATGATACATACATGCAGATATTTTACAAAGTCCGAATGTTGTTGCATCACAGGCTAGACGTGACATGACATTTGTGTCAATAATTGATAGGCTTATTGGCAAAATGTTCATTGGTGCGGGTTTTATTGATCACCTTCAAGGTTGTATTGCCACGGCGCATGAAGATATGTCGGTTCTCGTTATCATTTCCAAACAAGGTTGATCTCTGCAAATCCTCACTGTGACATTGCACTTCTCACGCAGCGTCTCACAAACTTCCCCTCTCAATTTCCATGCACGTACCACAATGCATGTTTCCTTGCTTTCGCACATTTCCAAAAGCGTTGCTCTACAGATACGACACTCCACATTGAAAGCAACAAGCCCTTCTCCGAATTATCATGATCTGCCGATAAAGATGTCTCACGGAAGCTACGGGTGGCGAGTAAATCGCCAGGGGTATAATCTGCAACTCCTCCGGCCGGTCTGGGACCTGGTTATCGGGCGAGGTGGCTGGCCTCGGTTAGAAGCACGAACCTCAGCGCCTGCTCCCGTAGGACTTATCTTCCTCCGACATGCATGCCTCATGCAGCTGGCCATCATTGTCGAATGATCAAGTTGCTGCGAGTAGCTATATGAGGGGGATGTGCTACCACATTCGCGACTGAATAGGAAATCCTCCTTAGCGAGGATACATTCGTGTTCCACACCAAAACCGCGATCTTGATGTCCAAGGCGAGTGTCTCTCAGGCCTCAATGTATCAACAGAACAGAAACGAAGGTCTCAAAAGTACCTTGCTAGAACCCGTTTTGGCTTCTTATCGTGTAAGCACGACTTGAGACGACGCAGAAAACAACCGGCAGATGTTCATCGGCGGTTCACATTTGGAATAGGATGTGAGGGTTATGAGCAGTTTAACCCACCGGGGTGCCTTCTTTTTGTCTTGGAGAGTTCTTTTCAAAAGTTCAACTCCAAAGAGTACACCGGTTCAAGTACGTACAGAATACATAAGGTAAAGCAAATCTCGAAGTCGTCGACTGTGTCATATCATTAATCTTCTGCCTCAGGCATACAGCACGCAGTTGTATCTGCAACCCCCAAATGTTGCATGTTTTCTCACTCGCATGTCATTGAATAACTTGCCCAGTGTCTAATCCTACCGCTTGCTACGTTGCCATGACCAAAGCCCGGCAAAATTTTGACCATCTTGCATGGAGTCTAAATGAAGAGGCTTGGAAGAAATCCTACAAGCGGCTTCGACTCAAATCGACCTGTCGTCAGGTTGAGTCTTTTGTCCAGGATGTTTGCGATCAGCATGCATCCTTCGTCCCTCCAGTTACCTTTGGCGGGTATAATGTTCTCTATCGAGTCCGCTGCGAAGGAGATGGCTTCGATACTATTGTTCGGCGACCGTGCCCCGATCTGGTACAGTTCCCCGCAGAAAAGACTCTCTATGAAGCTGCAACGATGTCTTACCTTGCCAAACACACTGAAATACCGGTTCCTATGCTCTTCTTTTACACTTCATCATCATCATCATCAGAAATCGGACCGGCTATGATCTTACCATACATAGAAAGTAGGCGGAACATGTCAGATGCCCTTGCGAAGCCTGATCAAGATCCTGAGGAGACACAGGTTCTGGACCCAGGGATACATGAAGAGGATCTCATAAGGCTTTATTGGAAGATGTGCAAGCTTCTGATCCAGCTCTTCAAGCCAAGCCTGGATAAGATCGGGTCCTTAGTTGAGCGTAACGAGAATCATTCAGTGGCTGGCCGACCAATCACCCAAAATATGGACGACATGGTCTATATGGCCTCTATTCCGAGATCAGTTTTCCCACCATCGAACCAGGTTTATCAGAGAGCCGACGAATGGTACACCGTTTCGGCATCTATGCACATGGCACAGTTGCTTTTCCAGCATAACGATCTTGTTCAATCAGAGGACGACTGCCGAAATAAGTACGTAGCGCGATACTTGTTTCATTCACTGGCAAAGAAGGGTCAATTGTCTACCTTTGGATTTCTTGAGGATAATTGGTCAGCCCAGTCCAAGTTTTTGGAATTATCGTGCCCGATGCCAAATAGAACTGGCTCGTTTCGACTTTGGTGTGACGATCTGAGGCCCCATAATATTCTTTTAAACCTTAGCGATAATATCGAGGCAGCTCTTGACTAGGAGTTTGCATATTCCGCTCCTACGCAGTTCAGCCTCGATCCGCCCTGGTGGCTGTTGTTGGAGCTTCCAGAGCTGTGGTCTTCTGGAATCGATGATTGGTCGCGAGTCTACGATGACAGACTCAGACCCTGGCTACTTGCAATGGAAGATGCCGAACAAGGAGAGGATATCAACTTTCCGGGGAAACTATCAACTTATATGCATGAGAGCTGGTTGAGTGGTCGCTTCTGGCTTGACTACGCTACGAGAAAGAGTTGGGTATTCGATACGATATTCTGGAAGTACTTGGATGAGAAGTTCTTTGGGCCTAGAGATAAGGATATACAAGAGTCTCAGTTTTGGGCAACAAGGGTTCATCTTCTAGGGGAGGAGGCCCAAAGGTCTATGGAAATGATCGTGGAAAGAAAGATGAATGAGGCAAAGGAGAGAGTCCTGGTGGATTGGGATCCGGCTACAGTGAAGCAGCTTCTTCAACAGGCGTTGGGAGATTAGTCAACTTAGCGGTCGAATAAGTGAAGTCCTTTCAGTGCAACCATACCCACTTGATGTTTGATGAAGCGTCTCATCCTAAAGCTGTTCGCATCCCACATAGGCGTCACTACTAAAGTCGTAAGATATGTTAAAAATCACCGTTTGAGTTATCTACTATTAATCAGCAGATCCAATTGTTTAATCAATTGGACCACTAATAGATGGCCCAGAATCCTCCGATTGCGGGTTTAATCAATTGCCAATCCGTCGAACTGATTGCGCCATACATCTGAAATGGCCTCATCACTATCAGTATTTACTGAAATACTACCATGCCAATTCCTTATCTTCTCTTATAAAGTCAAAAGAAAGCCTATCCTCAGTTTTGATCTGTTTTCAACAACTAAGGTTCATCTTGATCGCAAACCTGAACTCATTGCTCGTCTGTATATATCCAGTCACCACCATGACTGTTAAGAACACTGCAAATAGCAATGGCAATATCCGAGCTGCTATCATCGGTGGAGGACCAGGAGGCTTAGGTGCCGCAATTGCCCTTGCCAAGTTGCCCTTCGTTGATTGGACTTTGTATGAGAAGAAGCCAGAGATCAGCGAGACAGGCGGTGGTATCAGTCTTCAACTACATACATGGAAGATGCTTGAATGGAACGGGGCAGCCAAGAACATCAAACCCAGTGACTTGTGGAGGTCTCCTGACGGTATCAGTGGACAACAGCGGTAGGTCATCTTGCAAGTGATCAGCAAACTTCCAAAGCTGACTGTGTGTCAGAAACGGGCGAACGGGTGAGCTTATTGAGCAAAGTTATCATCCTGAAGATACACCCATCCACCAACGCAGCGGCCGTCAGAGGAGAGCCAAGCTGCAAGCAGCTCTTCTCAAAGAGGTTGATCAGTCAAAAATCAAGCTTTCCAAGAAGCTTGTTGGCGTTGAAAAGCTACCCAGTGGAAGAGTGATCATCCGATTCGAGGATGGCTTTACAGATGAAGTTGATCTCTTGGTTGCTGCAGATGGCATAAGATCAGTAAGTAAAGCACAATCTAGCATTCAAGATCAAAACGCTAACACCATCCAGATCGTCCGGTCGTTTACTTTTCCTTCGCACAAAATCAAATACAATGGCCAGTCTGCATATCGCACCATTATCAGCAAGTCTGAAGTTAATGCTCTTGGCACTATTCCTCAAGCCTCGACATTCTGGCAGAATCTAGGTGGTAGATACGTCTTTACAAGTCCGCTGGGGGACGACGACTTTGAGGTCACAGCACGTATCTCCCGGCCCTCGGAAGGTCAAGACCACGTTAGCTGGGGCCGACCCTTTGACTTCAGCACACTTGTTCACGAATACGATGGGTTCTGCGAGCCCGTTCGCCAAGTTGTTCAACTAGCAGCAAAGGGGGAGACTCAAGAATTTGCTCTGTTCTCCGGCCCACGACTAGATCGAGTAGTTGCCCTTGATTCGATAGCTCTGATCGGAGATGCATCGCATCCCTTGTCAGGAGCTTTTGGGGCGGGAGCTGGGTTTGCCCTTGAGGATGTGTATACACTGTCCAAAACCCTCGAGTGGGCTTGGACTCGAGGTGGAGGTATCAAGGCTGCACTGGAGTTATACGATCGCATCAGGTCACCACATTACCATGATCTATATAATGTTCTGGACTGGTATGCAGGTATTGGCAAAGAGATTGCGGCAGAAAGGTTATCCGTGGACGACGAGATTGAAGCAAAGGTGAGAAGAACGAAGTGCAAGAAATCGAGCTGGATGTATTACTATGATATCCAGACTGTCGTTGATGATGTTCTTGATAGCTTGGATAACAAGGAAAACTGAGCGCGGAAATAGCAGTATTCAGTTCCCCAACAGATCTGTCCATGAAATCTTCGCATTGCTCAAATTATCAATATCTTACGCGTACAACGGCTTCAAACATTGCAAAGAACAGAAAATGTTGAGGTTCGTCCTTGCTAGTGTCACAAGAACGATCGCCGTCACGTCCATAGGTCACAAGGCCTCTGTGACCGGCTGCACCGGACACAACAGAAAGGGCATTTAATTACCACGATGCAAGGCTGACGAGAATCAATTGCCGGAAGACCGTTACAGACATGGGGCACTTTCTATCCAAGTTCAGCCGGTCTTGAATGCGGATCATCCGGTCGCGAAAAGTGTCATGCAGTTGACGGCCAGCACGTCTAGTGTGGAGTCTACCACTTGAGCGGAATCGGCCGAGATGGACAGATAAACCGCGGGTTTAGATGAGAATCGGGAGACGATGCAAGTCAAGTAACGTGAAGATGTTGGGGTAAGAGAAACAACGTGGCATAGGAGGTGAGCAGAAGAATGCGGTGAGGAAAAGGACAGGACGAGACTTGCATGAACAATGCGAGCAAGTGGACTTGGAGCTGACCGTGGCATTGTGCGCTTCTTTGCGCGAATATCGTGTCAAGAGCACAGCTAGAATAGGTTATTGCAAATGATCAACATATTGACGATTTTTTACTACGGCGTTTGATATTGTAGATCTTCCAAATGGGGAAACGGACGATAGTTACTATGACGACGTTTTGAGACGTGGCTGGTCAAAGTAGCAGCTTGACAGCCAAGTACTCACCCTGTACCATTCTGTCGGAAGCGGTGATGCTGACAGTGTCTTAAAATCACTCTTGCATGCGGCTGTTGGGGATTGGATGAAACATCCATTCACGATGTTTGCTGGGTTGATGAATGACGGTGAACAAGTGAGCGCATGATGAAAAGAATTAAGCCGATAACAGTGCAGTTCTGTCTGTCAGCCTGATACATTCACAAACACGTCAATGGATCCTTCTGGCGGCCAGAGTAAGCCACGGCGCTCCAGAGGCTCAGCAATCTGTAACTTACTTACGATTAAAAAAAAGCATGGCATGGTGGACGAGAAGCGTTTTGGGAGGACCCGAGTTGGGGTTGGTTGTACTATTGTTGCACTCTGGTGAAGAATGATGATGACGATGATGTCGATCTTATAATGGTGGGTGTGATGGCGACAATTGTGTCACAGCTGTCACTAGCCTAATATCGAGGATATTCCTAGAACTTTCCCTGCAGTGAAGCCATCCATTCTAAGTGAGTAAACAAGAAACATTGATTGAGCTGAAAGATTAACTCAAGACAACGCACACATAATAAGACAATGCGAATATCCAAGACATGCATGAAAGTTTCCGCGGGCTCCATTTTGTCAGTACAGGCAGTCGACAGGGAAGTATGGTCTAGACTCTAGTGAGGTACTTTGACGATACTTCGCTCGCAAACTAAGACAAAATTCGGAGTTAGAAGCCATCCGCTGAACCCGATAGGAAACCCCTGGGCAGCCTAACAAGAGGCACAGCACAGACGTGAAAGACAACGTGTACTTGACTGAGAAGAAGCAGGCAAGTCACCAAAAGATTAGGGCAGTATCAAGTCTGGTCTTCTGTACGAATATTCATGCGATTGAGTTGAAGCATCAGCTATTCACCAACTAATGTTACAGATTACGATGAACAACTAATTTCCCCCTGTTCCTATTTATAATCCCTGTTGCTGATTTTCTTCTCCTTTTCCCGCTTTCTGCCCAAGGGAATTTCACTGCACTGGGATGGCTGAGATTTTTAGTTCGGCAGCAAGTGGGGTACCTAAGAAGTACCTTCGACCCCCGTAACTCCCGTCCCGAAGTCTGGTCCCTTCACCTTCCATCTAAAACTTGGCCCTTCCCTTCCCCGACTTACCACCTCAAACACAGGTTGCCAACTCAGGGCGACTTCCCTCGGCTGCGTCGCTTTTGGTCTCTCGATATTGCTCGTCTGCTTGTCTCATTGCTTCAAACTCCTATACCTCTCGCCTTTCGTCCCCTTGACTTCACCGAATCTCTCTTTACGACCTGACGGGGCTGGCTGAGCTCAGCAGAAACGCGAGCGCGATGAACGCAATTCAGCAAAAGTGTCGGCCGAAGCACCAGGTCCTCGTCCTAAAATGCTATCCGCGGACTACGAAAGGCGCTGTAGATGTGAAGCCGAATAGCAGCGAGCTTAGCTACCTTCTCTACTATGCTACGAGTCGTCGCTCCAAGATCCAGAAGATTGGCGCTTTTTTGGAGAAGAAGACAGCCAGCGACGTCTGGCGTCTACGTATTGGGTACGTCGCATGTCATTGAGTTTCAAAACGTCGATGTGTCAGATCCACCCACTTCGAGGCTCCTCCCGTAATGCGATCTTACGTTTGGGACTTGTCATGATCAGTCGGAATTCATGATTGCTAATATGTGCCCCTCGACAGGAATGTTCAAGTCACTCTACAAATTCTGTCAGCCTTGATGGAAAAGCTTCACAAGGACTCGGTCCTGATTGCTCCATTCGTACTCAAAATCCTCGACACCGTCCTCCGATCTGACGATATCACCATGATCGAGTCCTCCCTTCCCACATTTGCGGCCTTTTGCGATTATCATGACGCCGCATTTCTCATGGCTGATCAGACTTACCTCCAACAATACGAGGAAATTGTTCGATTATATGTTCAGCTTGCTTCGACGAAGCCTGCGCCAGGCAAGGAATCTCTCACCACCCCTGTTAAAGTTCGATGGAGGAACGCGGGCCTTGAAGCTATTCGTAGCATCTCTACGGCGGATGCACTATCTTCGATCACGGGCAATCAAATGGATGTCATCATGCCTCGCATTCTCGAGAACTTGTGGTCCGAAACCCCCGACTTTCTCGACACTCTACATCAACGACTCGAAACGGAGGAAAAAGTCGACACCGAAAAGCAGCTCAGGCGGAGAACTAGTATTGCGACAGTTGGGACCGACGGAGAAAACGACCCGAATCCTGTTGCTCTCTCAGGAACTGCGGGTGATGTCGATAAGCTTGCGGAAGAAGAGGTTGGGGTATTAGCCCTCCAATGTTTGAAGAGTATCTTTATTGTCCCTACCCGCTCCCAGATCCACGGCGCGACGGTCTCTCTCCTGAGATTTATCCA